CTATCTATCAAAAACAAGTTAGTTCCATTTCCGCAGCCCAAAAGAGAATCATTAAGTCGCTCACTGTTTGACTCCCAACAATGACGACCAACTCCATAATCAATCAACGATAGTCCATGGATGTCTCTTCATTTACTAGCCTGTCAGCTTATTTTGTAGCATGTAATTTCTTCTACAACGCCCTCTGACGGTCTTCTACGTGTTCACAAGAAAAGACGTGTGAGAAAATGAAACAGGAATAGCAGAGGAAGTGCCGCGAGCAGGCTACCCAACACCATTTTGATGAGGTAAGACCTTTCCATGCTCAGGTGTTTACTCACCTGACTCATGAGTCACCCTGAAGCAAAAAGTAAAGAAGAATCTACTTCAAAGGTAGTGATAAAAACCAATAGATAAAAGAAATTTAACGAGGGCTCTAAATCTAACCATATGCCGAAAACCAACTCACTCAAATCATCACATCAACTTTGTTTAGCGCATCTGTAACGTCGATAGATCCTAATCAAAAGCTTGTAGGCTGAAAATGAGATAACTGGGAAAATAAACTTCCAAAATGTAACACAAAATTCTGTCAATTATAGTGAACGCAGAAACATTCATTCGGTATTCAATTCAACGCATGACACGGCTCAGTCTTGTAGTACTTTATTTGATCTAATTTCAGTAGTTGTAATACCAGTCATTCAGTTATACGCAAGGTAGAAACTGACATACGAGTATATTGGTTTGAGTTGCCATACGACATTACATTATGATGCACGTAGAACTTGCTACCGTATGTCGATTTATAGGTAGTAAGCATTAGTATATATATTGTGAGCATTAACGACACTATTTGCCATTCTAAATAAAATTAGCTAAAGTCGGTCAGAACCCTCAGACTTTACTTGTCTAGTGAAGGCACATCATTAGCTCTTGAGTCGCTAAACGAACACTTATGATGGTTTTCTATAGTTATACATTAAGTATTCGTACCTTTTTTTCATTGTAAAGTTTGTATCTTTCTGCAAATATACTGTGTGGTTAATGCATCGATAAATTTGATATTGTATTATGTGTACGAAGATTTAAAAAATAGTAAGTGGATGTATTATAACTCTTTTGTTACAGGAAATAGATGGCCAAGCACTTCTTCTTCTTAGCATGGAATCACTGCGTAATTATATGAAGATTAAATTGGGTCCGGCTTTGAAAATGGTCCATCTTATCAGTCGTCTAAAACGTGGGTTGCTGTAACAGCTAGTCTTCGGAGTTCGGCTTTTTTATTGGTCCTTTATATATCAATTATACCATCCGGACAATAACAATTTACAGATGATGAATGTTCCTAAATCTTCTCTAAAATTTATGTGTTTCTAATCTATTTTCTTAGTACTCAAATTGACAGATCTTTATGAGTTCAATGTAGTTGAATTCATTCGGTTAATATAACTGTTCAATATGAAAAATCGTCTTGAATAAGACTTGTGTTTTTTCTCATTGAAGCTAACGTTACCTCTTTAGTATCTTCTACTTAAGCTTTATTAATTAAGTTTGGTCTGTTTTATTTATATATATAAAGATTCGAACTGTTTTTCGTAGCGGACAAAATTATTTTGCGTTTGTTATGTTGCATAAGCTGGTATATACGTGCTTACTTAGGTCTGTTACACCCTTTTTGCATGCTAGGGTTGACTCTTATATGTCTCTTGATATCACGGTTAAAGTCCCTGTTCCTTAAACCTGTTACTCGTCGCGGAGGAGCATAGGCCGCCCACCAGCACTCTCCACCCAACTCTGTCGTGGGCTGTCCTTTCCACTTGCTGTTAATCCTTCTCATATCTCTTTCCATTTCCCGACGTAGTGTGTTCTTCGGTCTTCCTCTTTTCTGCTTCCCTTCAGAATTCTAAATTATGGCTTTCCTCGTGATGCAGTCTGGTGATTTCCGTAATGTAGGTCGTATCCACTTCCAACGTCTTTTCCTAATTTCCTCTGCAGCTGGAGTCTGGTTTGTTGTTTCCCACGGTAGGCTGTCGATGATGGTTTCCGGTAGACGAATATTGAGTATGTTGCATAGACAATTGTTTAGAAGTATTTATACCGTAATGGTAATGGTTGTAGTTCTCCAAGTTTCAGCTCCGTACAGTAAAACTTTACGTTCGTATTAAAGATTCTGACTTTGATTGCGGCTAACAGTTGTTTTGAGTTCAATATATCCTTCAATCTTAGTAATGATTTCCTTGGCTTTACGTCCGCATCAAATCCTCCACCTTCATCGATGATGCTGACCAGGTACGTGAAAGTTTCAACTTCTTTCAGAGCTTCCCCATTAAGTGTGATTGGGTTGGTGTTCGTTGTTTGTACTTAGGGATCTTGCATTTCCCCTTGTGTATGTTGAGGCCTACTGATGCAGAGGCTGTTGCTACTCTAGTTGCCTTCACTTGCATTTGTTCGTGTGTATGAGATAGAAGGGCCAGGTTATCTGCGAATTTCAAATTTTCTAATTGATCCCGAGCTGTTTATCGTATTCCGTGCTTCCCCTCAAATATCGAGGTCTTCATAATCCAGTCGACCATTAGAGTGAGCAGCCTTGTCTGTCAGCTGTCCTCCATGCACCACTTTGCTTTGTAGTCCATCGTAGGAATTCCGTATGATGTCGACGATCTCTCAGGCTCTCCATAATGCTGAAGAAGTTTCCGTAAGGTCCTCCTATCCACATTGTCAAATGCCTTCTCATAGTCGAGGAGGTTGATGTATAGTGACGATTTCCACTCAACAGATTGTTCGACGATAATCCGTAGTGTTGATATGAGCATGACCGATCCTTATGGAATCCAGCCTGTTGATCTCGAAGTTGGGCATCTATTGAGTCTTTCATTCGGTTCAGCAACAGGGTTGAAAACTTTTCCTGATACTGACAGTAGTGTGATGCCTCAGTAGTTCTCACATTTACTCAGATCTCAGCTCCTTTTTATCTTGATAAAGTATCTTTTCCAGTCTGCCGGCATTTCTTCTTCGTCCTAAATCTCCCTGAATAAAATATGGGGCATGTTTGCAGTTACTTCAATACCTGATTTCAGAGATTGAACTCGTATATTGTGAGATCCTGCTGCTTCCCCGTTTCTTTTGTTTGATGGCCACCATAATTTCTTCGATCGTTGTTGGATTGACATCTACGGAAAGGTTTGTAGGTGCTACTTTGATGTCCAATGAATTCAATGGAGAAGGTTTATACAAAAGTTCCTCGAAGTATTCGACCCATCTGTTCCTCTGTTCTTCAACCTCAGTGATTGTCATGCCTTCTTTGTCTTTCTGGCTTACCAAATTTCCTTGCTAGCTTCTTCGTTGTGTCATGTTGCTTTCTCATATTTCCTTCTCTTGAAGCTTTTTCCTCAGTCGTCGCTAGCTTTCCAACGTATTTCTGCTTATCAACCCCATAGTAGTTCCATGTTCTTTCAGTAGAACCTGTTGTTGAGAGTTATCTCGAATTCTCTCAGTCTGCTAGTATCTAGAAGGAAGGTTGTATTGGACCTTTGTAATACTGGTTCCCCAGCTGTTCAGTGTTTCTTTAGCTTCAATTTTATACTGGACATAACCAGGTGATGATCTGAAGTCATGTCAGTTCCTCTCCTAGTTTTCACGCCTTCCATTGTCCTTCTGAATTTTTTATTGATACAAATATGATCTATCTAGTTCGCTGTGGTGTGATCCTGTGAGACCCATGTAGCTTTACGTATGCGTTTGTGTAGTAATAATGTACCACCTATAACCAAGTTGTTGAATGGACATAGGTTTGCAAATCTCTCGCCATTTTCTTTTCTCTCTCCCAGTCCATGTCGTCGCTTGATATCTTCATATCCGGTGTTGTCCATTCCGACCTTGGTGTTTAGGTCTCTCATCAGGATATTCGATTCTTTTCTTAAGTACTTCGTTATAGTTGATTGCAGCCTCTCATAGAACTGATCTTTATTGTTGTCGTTACTATTATTGGTGGGTGCATATCACTAGATAACATTCATCGTAATGACCTTTCTCTTTGTTTTGCATGATGCTTTGGTGATTCTGGATCCGTGAGATTCCCATCCTATACACACACTACGTACTTCTTTGAACAGCATCACAGCAACTCCCTGAGTATGTGGAGCATTTTCCTCTTCGTGATCGGGGTATAGCAGCATTTCTTCCGTATCTAGCCTTTGCTGTACAGCTTGAGTTAAATGAGTATCGCTGATTTCCAGTACTGACAGGTTGTATCTCCTCATTTCCGTTGTTATTTGACTGGTCTTCCCGGTCTCTCACATTGTTCAGACGTTCCATGTACCTATAAAAATTGTTGCTCTAGTTGTTAGAAGGGCCATCGGCCTCTTGAATTCCGAAGAATCCAAGATTTCATCCTTTATTACGTGCTGCTCAGCACTGAGATATTTCTTGTCCATGTAGTGTAGTTGTGCATTAAAACATTCTAAACGACAGTAGAAATCCTCATATTCCACCTAATTACTTTGTTTCATACGATTGTCCTTTCTCTTCAATTCTATACGGTTTCGATGAAGGTGTGTTAATCCCCAGTCATTAAAACGTCTGTATCTGACGTCATCCGATCATTCTAATTTGCATGACACTGGAACTAGAAGCGTACATCGATGGAGCATCTAAAGAGTACAAAAATCCAGTAGGATAAAATGAAAACCTGATGCCTATAAAGTGAAGTATAGGTTTCCATTGAAAACGTCACATATAACGCTTCACAGCATAAAAAAGTAAGACAAGCGAGTATTACATATTAGTTTTCTGTGTTACAGAAAATGTTCCTTCAAATCGAGCTCTGACACTTAGTACGTCCAAGAAACTTTAAATTTGTTTTCAGTGCATATTTCATCCTTCTAACCTTCATTTAATATTTTCTGTTCTGATAATTAGAAAGCAAAAGCACACTGCGCATTCTTTACATAATCTTTTATCTGAAACTGTAGAAGCACATATATTGTTTATTGGATATTGATCAATGTTTCTAAGTTACAGTTTGCCCCGCTTGATCCGCTATACATCAGTTTGGTGAGTGTAATTTGTATAAATACTATTTGTCTCGTGTTTGGTCGCATATGGAGAGACAAGGCTTATCCTGACTTGACGACAAATTTATTCCTAATATAAATTCAGATGAGCAGGTTTCACTTGACACCGATCGGCGTGTTCCTTAATATTTTCGTTGTTCAGCTTTTTATTTGGTAGCCGCAAAAATAGATCTTATGTAATATTCAACATGCAATAGAACACAATAATCCTCTCAACTCATGGTGTTGCTTAGATTTGCTGTCATTTTCGAAGTAGTAACGGAGAGTGATTATACTACGTACTCCAGTAAATAGTTCGTATTTTATAGTTTGGTATGAAAAACTAACCTTAATGTAATTAAGACTTGAAAACTGGTTCTAAGTTTTGTGAAGACTGATGACCTATATGGAACATTTGTTGTAATATATGTCAGACTCAGATTTGTGAAGTAAGGACGGGATCCCTGAAGCCTACGTCATTCCATTTCTAGTATCACTCTCTGGGCGTCTTATCTTCTCTCGAATGTGCCAGTCGAAGGTAAGGACACCACTGTTTCATACTGAACTAAAAATAATGGGGTTTAATTTGATTTACTTGACCTTCTTACGTAGTGAGAATTTTATTAAATGTTGGAGTAAGGTTTCTCTCAATGTAAAAATGGGACAAATAATCTATATTTTAGCGGAAAAGTGGGCATATGACGAGATTACGAACTTAAAACGACAAACAGGGAGAATTTCGGGCGATTTACCTATGAAAAACACAGTAAAATCTTAATGGACTTCTTGATTTTTATTCTTTATTTTCTGACGGAAGGTTTTCTTTATTCACTAATTTTTGCTTTTATTCCTTCGTCTTAGGTTGTTTGGATGTATACTGTTTATTAATCTTGTTCAAAATAGTACATAACAGAGCTAAGTACTTTGAGAAGTGCATTTTATATTTTTGAGGAACAAAGAATTACGTTGTAGTGTTTATGATATCGCTGCTGATATGGTTATATTTCATGTCGTTGTACACCTGTACTACTCACACTAAGTAGAGTTACATTCAAAGATTCATCACAAATAAAATTTAAAGAAATTTAAAGATTAACACAAATGATATCTTTGAATATCACTCACCAATTTCGAAAAAAGAGTACCTCATAATCTTTTATCCCTTAATCCATTCACTGTTCAACCTTTGATTTGTTAGTCGCAAAAATAGATCGTATGTAATATTCAACATGCAATAGAACACAATAATCCTCTCAACTCATGGTATTGCTTAGATTTGCTGTCATTTTCGAAGTAGTAACGGAGAGTGATTATACTACGTACTCCAGTAAATAGTTCGTATTTTATAGTTTGGTATGAAAAACTAACCTTAATGTATTTATAGTGTGTAGGATTTGATCTTGGTTTCGGTCGTTATTAATAGGAATGATAGCCCGCTCGACTATGACAACCTCTTGAGTTTATTTTTCACTGAAGATCTGATTTCTCCTTAAAAGCGCCCACTGGTGAAACTGGTACCAGTCGCCGACCACTGGATGGGAAAAACGGAACCCTAACCGAAGCTTGGTTTTAGAACCTTATTGCGGTGGCCTCCAACATGATTATTTTTGCAGAGAGTAGAAGGAAAAAACTTGTTTCTGCACACTGAACACTCGGGTATGTTCGCATCCGCAATATAACGTGAACTTTATGCTTGGATGCGAAATTCAATGTAGGGTCTCCCGTGGGTGTAGCACAATACCTGAAGCATATATTAGTCAAAATGGTTGAATGTTCAGCAAAACAACGATTACTCTCAAAAGTCTGAAAGCTGTTGAATAGTAGTGCGCAGTTGTTTCCAAGTCATAACTAACTACTACTCCCAGATCTTCTTGTTTCTGCACATGTGGAAGCTACTCACCGTTGACCCTTATGCTGGTAACCATTGCCGTGTCCAGTGTGGATTAGTGAACTATTTCCATCGTTCGTCTCGAAACCTAAAATTCGGAATCATTTAACTAATCCGTATAAATTTGTTAGGAGATTACGATTATCAGTCTCATTACGTGTTCTCCAAACTTTGACACCATCTATGGACAACAATGTCGGTAGCTTAAGCAGTTTTGGTAATCCATTGACTCAGAAGAAATTTTGAACCTAAGATGTTACTTTGGTGTACACCACTTCTAAATGGTTTCCATACATATGATGTCTTAGCAACAGGATCGGTGAGAAAAGCTGAGGTATTTTAAGTTATCCTTGTATTTACAACCCTCTGAGCTCATTCCAACACGTACGTTTCACATTTCATACTAGAATTCCTCGCTTTACTTTCGTATTCTGAACGTGGTGGGCGACAAGATATAACAGGTATTCCTGTCTAGTCTTCAAAATAGCTTTCAAAGGTCTCCAAAAAATCCGCAAGTCTTAAGCACCTGCTGCTTTGTTATCACCCTTAAATTTGAGACCACCGTTTACTGTGACTCGTAAATCCATACAGTTACCAATGTTATGTAAATGGATTTGATTTCCGATATAATTATGCAAACGATGTGCATTACAGTACTTGTGCTATTACTTGTCCTCAACGACCACCAAATCGTCCACTCATCCAGAGGGTTCATATCAACTTTTAACCCTATTTTATCCTTATTGTATTCTAAAACTCTCAGATGTAAGTTATTAATAGCTTGCCTCGATCTTCGAGTTTCATTTAGTATGGATTTTGGGTTATTGTGAAGAACACTGAGCGACAAGGTTATCTTTATAATTTTGTGGGTGTTGCTGCTTTAGATTGCTAAATCACTATGATATTTCACTTAATGTGAGCACATTCAATTTATTGTGCAGCAGTTTAAACTAATATCGGTTTGATTAGTGCATATTACAGAACTTCACTTCGCTTGTAATAAGATATTACTGTTGTTACCGTGTCTGTTTCTCCATGCTCCAATATTCTATACAAAGTCATAGAATATGGTTTTTCCTCTTCATTTTAATTATTCTGATAAGTTTTGACTAAGGCATTACTGAATATTTACTATCTTAATTATAGCGTTGACATAATCATTAGTATCATTTTGTGATGATATTACTTCATTTGATGTACAATTTGTGTTTGTCTAATGTATTCTGTGAATAAAATAGTTTTACTCTTAAAAGCATTCTTTCTGTTTTAAATTATTTATTAATACTTGATTTGAGTTTTTAAGCTATGTCCAGTCGCATTGTTGATGTATTGTGCTACTGTGAAAAAATCCAAGATTCTAACAATGTATCATTAAAGTTTTTCTGACTGCTTTGTGTAAAATATTCAATGTTTGTAATATAATAGAGTGGTTACATGCATGTAAAATGTACAGTTATTTGGCTGACCTTCTGGTTTGTCGGAATACATATACAAATCCTGTTAGTTAGTAAGCTACAACGTAGGACCAGGTACATATATGCATCGGTCCAAGTTGTCACACCTCATTATCACAAGATGAACACAAAATTCATAGAGGTGGTCACTTCACTTGTAGTTATGTATAAAAGATTGTGAACAAGGATATAGTACAGGAAGAAAGAATCAGTTTGTAGGAATAAATGTTTAAAGCAATCTGAATTTCACGGTTTAAGGGTAGACAAAGATTGTATATACGAAACCCAACCAAAGTACGGTTAGTTAAAATATATCGAATGGCTTTAGGTACACTGGCTACAGCTATAGCTGAATGTACACTTAACGCAAAGAATTTAATGACTGTCGGTATTATCTGTCGCAAGGTTCCAATATTTTATTTGGGACATACCAAAAATCTCTACAAACTTACAGGAACACTCATCAGAGGATTCCATGTTAAGGTTGAATTTGTGTTCCTCTATATTTCCATTTTTTGATTGACATTTGATTCATCACCATCCCTCCGCTTTATTATGTTATCGTCTGTTACTGATAAATTCAATTTAGTCGCCTTTACAATGTTGTGTCCACAAAAACAGAAATCTGGCAATGAAATTTTTGTATTCTCAACTGTCTATCCTGAGAAATTAGTCCAAGTTCCTAAATTTGATGAAATAAACTTTAAAATGATGAAAGTGAAGGCAGCTTGTAAGGTTACGAGTAACTTATCATCGGTTTTGGATGATTTTAAAATAACAAAGCAAAGCAGCTATTCGTTTATTTCACCCATTCAAAGATTTATGTATACAATTGCGTTTTACCTTGTCACTAAACGTTTTAAGTGAATAGTGCTCTAAAATAGGTTTCGCAAGTGGATTTGAGCTTTTAAACAGTAGACTCTTGTGCATGTATGTGCGTAATATCATATTTTAATCTTCTTTAAAAGCGAATTCGAAGATAACTACGACATATTTTATCTAAGACAGTAGACACAATATTATTGAAAAACCTGAGTAATTTTCTTGGTCTGACTAGAGAAATGGTTGTGCATGTCAATGAAATAATATCAGCGAGAAGTATTATTTGTTGGAATGTCTTTGTTTTTTAAACAAGTATGAATAATGATTTGCTATCTACCTTGCAGAACGTTCCAAGCATCTGTCCAGCCACACAATGGTGTTAAGTAAGTAAACCATTTTGACAGTTTTGACGTTCGTGCTAAGTTACCGCAGATCTCATTCGAAAACGTGCAGAACACAATGATGGGGAGATATACTCCCTTGAAGAAGTGGCTTTACATCAACAAAATCTTGAAAGGTAAAACGTTTGTTACATAATTAAAAAAAACAAGGATTGAGCTTATTGAGAACTTGTGTAAAAGCCTTAGAATATTATATCTACAAAATAATCTCATTCCAAAAATCGGTATTGCTAATTACTTACTGATTTTTTGTTTCAGAAAATCTATCAAAGTTGAAAAAACTAGAATATTTGAATTTAGCTCTAAATAATATTGAAAAAGTGGAGAACTTAGAAGGTTGCGAATCCTTGAAAAAGCTAGATTTGACAGTAAATTTTATTGGGGACTTGTTTAGTATTGAATCTTTAGGTAATGTGCATTTTCTTGAAGAACTGTAAGTTAGTTGTAAAAAATTTGTTTAATTTTCTTCTTATATGTGTTGTAGTTATTTAACTGGAAATCCGTGCACAGAATATCCAGGGTATAGAGAATTTGTGATTGCTACGTTACCGCAATTAAAAGTAAAGATAGATTTTCTTTTTTTAAATGTAAAGTTGCTAGATGGAGTGGAAATAACTAAATCGGAACGCATTATCGCATTGCAAAACTTGGAACGTATTCGTCCAATCATAGAAGAAAAACAAAGAGAGCACGGATTGAAAAGAGTAAGTGGGTGGTGAATTTTCATGATTAATTGATTATGAATTTCCATACTACTTATTTAATACGAAGTTATTTCACAGAATTCTGAAAAGGTCGAAGCAGTACGAAGAAAAGAAAGATTCGCCAAGGCAAATACAGATTCCAGTTAGTAAGTTCGTAACATTTTATTCTAATGGTTTTTACCTAGTTTACGATATACGGCATTTAATAGTTAGTTTAGGCATAAATTTAAGATTTTTTCTGAGTCCCAATAACACTATAGTATAGCTGGATTTTGCAGATCCGGATCTAGTAGGGTTTTAGATTTCCACAGCTGTTATTCACACAGTACGTATGACTCACAAATTAATGTCCTAATAATATTAAGAAAAGGTTTTATCTTACCCGTTCCATCAGATAAATATAGTAGACTGATAAGTGTGGTTGATTTGACGGTAGAAACGAATATTAAAAAATAAACCTTACCGACTTGGCTGAATATACTACTTTACCTATGTTCATCTGCTGTAAAACGATCTTACAATATTAGGTGTTAAATCTAATTTCATAGTACCAAAGATTTAGAGATTGACAGTTTACTTATAAGTGTCCATAATTGTTTCGGGCAATGAAGTAAGCCTGAACATTTCGGAGTGGAGGCAAATGCTCTGCATCTTTGTAGTCTGTTTTACTGTTTTTGTAACTTACTATCGTTATCAAAAGACCCATTGTTTACAATACATGAAAAATTTGTATAAAATAGGTGATATTATTTTTAGTAGCGTAAGGTAGAAACCATTTACATCACCTTTTTTTAGACGAATTCAAAGCCATATATTTTCCGCTTCAAATAATTATGGAAAACTGCATTCCTTATAAATGCCATTACGCCATATGAAGATATCTTTTGAATAACTCTTATTTACCATGAAAATGTTTGAATTGTTTTATTGTATGATTTCTGTGTACTGTATTTTCAAAAACAAAATTTCATGGTGTTCCAAAATATTATTACGATCGTAATGTTATTGTTTGTTGAACTCTACTTATCATATTCAGGTTTTCTATTCAAAAAAAAGAACATTCTTTTGCAGTAACTGTTTACGTTTTACGATACTCATGGGCTTCATTGCTTCGACTATGTTGTCAAGAGCTAAGAGCAGTTGTATCCCTCAGACCAGTGTTATCTCCTGGGGTCTCCTTGATTTCTTATCTCCGTTTATGGCTTCATAAGTGTTTTGGTTGGTTTGAACAGACATCATTGTATTTTCCATTGATCATTCGTCCAAACGTTCTCCACCTAATTTTGCCCTAATAAATGCAAATATTGCAAGTAAAACAATTAGAACTGATAAAAGCGGCGATTTTAAACCTATCTACCGGAAATGCAATGACATGTACTGACAATATCTTCATCCTTTTTGGTTCAACACAATACTTTCGACTATAAACACAATCAGTCTGTTTTTCTAAACAAATGAAGACTTCTTGTGTATTATGTATTGAGCGAACAATTGGTTTCAATAACCTCATCATCAGGCTCTATAATTATGATAATTTAAAAATGCCAAAATAAGGCTTGTATTAATGAATTCCACAATTTTATGTGTTAAAAATGGTAAACGTTTACATCTGTTACGACATATATACTCCGAAATTGAGTTATTTGCAAATTAAAAAGGTTATTTAAAAAAGTTCAGAATGATTATTTATTTATTCATTTATTTATTTGAACACATGAATATTGGTACAAGAGAGCGCCAATATATATGCGCCACACAAAACAATGAGAATTCGAAGACAAATAGAAAAAAAAGCTAAGGAGCGCAAAAAAGAGAACAATAACGAGAAGATTGGCGTAAGGTAGTATGGTAGAAATGAGGGAACGGAAAGGTACAATCAGAAGTAATCTTTCAGATAAGGGAGACACAACCACTTTTTATAAAGAAAGTAAAAGAAGGTTACAGCAGGATCGCCACTGGCTTCTATTCTGAGCCATATCTGATAACGTCTCTAGCCACTGTGTAGCACCATCTCTAGGACCCCAACCAGGGAGTCGTGAAGGACTAACAGTAGCCAGTCTTGTACATCTTTCTTTCATACCACGACACCATGTCATACACTGACCACCTCTCCACTTTTTCCAACCAGTCCCAGAGTCGGCAAATAATGCACGACGTGGAATTCTCTGGGACGACATTCGTAGAACATGTCCAAGCCACCAAAGTCGGTGTTTCAAGATAGTGACACCAATCGAGTTATCGTCTTTGCGCTCGAACACACGATGCCGAAGCTCTGCATCACTGACATAGTTTTGACACTGGATGTCAGCAATCCTTCGGAGACAGCGATGATCGAACACAGAGAGTCGTCTAACATCCTCAACTTGGAGAGGCCAGGTTTCACAAGCATAGAGCAAAACTGCTCTCACCGACGCGTTGTGGATCCGACCTTTTACAGCTAGACTGACATCACGAAGACGCCAAAGATGGCCCAGATTGACATAAGCCGCTCTGGCTTTCACTATACGTGCATTGATCTCATCAGTCAGGCCACCACCAGCCCTTATGCAGCTACCTAGATACACGAACTTCTCAACTACTTCTATCTGCTCACCATCCAGGGTGAGTACAGGATTAGAATCCTGCCAGTCTTGTAGAAGTACTTTGCACTTGGAAGGTGCAAAGCACATACCGTACTTACGGACACTGGTTGCCAACTGATTAATTGCGGATTGCATGACTTGGGCATTACCGCACAGTAAGACAATATCATCCGCATACTCAGGGTCGAGAAGTCTTTCTACAGGCAACAGATCCACACCGCCATTACTTACATCCGTCAGAGCTGTTTCCAGAATGTCATCGATGGCAAAGTTGAGGAGGAATGGTGAGACTGGGCAACCCTGTCTAACCCCACTGCTCGAATGGAACAACGGAGAGAGGTGGTTGTATGCCCTCACTCTGCCTGAGGTGTTTGTATATGGGGCCTTTAGGATGTTAACAAACTTCTCAGGCACACCCTTCTTCAATAGACAATCCCAGAGAACAGTCCTGTCCAACGAATCGAAGGCAGCCCTAATGTCAAGAAACACTACGATTGTTGGTCTTTGATAAGTATGGCGGTGTTCTAACATTTGATAGAGAAGTGCCCAAGAAAGGATCTCACCATGCTGATGGGAGATCTAAACACCAAAGTCGGAATAGACAACACCGGAAATGAAGATATCATTGGACGACATGGATTGGGAGAGAGAAACGAGAATGGGGAAAGGTTTGCAAATCTGTGTGCATTCAACAAATTGGTCATAGGCGGCGAAATATTTCCACACAAGCGTATACACAAAGCTACATGGACCTCACCAGCCCACACCACATAGAACCAGATAGATCATATTTCCGTGAATAAAAATTCCGAAGGACAATGGAAGATGTGAAAACCAGGAGAGGAACTGACATAGCTTCAGATCACCACCTAGTTGTGGCCAATTTAAAACTGAAACTAAAGAAGAACTGGACAATTAGCACTACAAAGGTTCAATACAGCCTTCCTTCGAGATACTGACAAACTCAATGAATTCAAGTTAGCTCCTAACAACAGGTTCCAAACCTTACAGGATCTACTGAAGGAAGAAGAAACTAATATGGAGGAAAACTGGAAATGTATCAAAGAAGCATTAACTTCAACGTGTCAAGAGGTGATGGGCCGCAACAAGCATCATCATAAGGAATTGATCTCTATAGAAACACTGGACAAGATCAAAGGAAGAAAGAACAAGAAGACAGCAATCAACAACAGCCGAACACGAGCAGAGAAAGTCAAAGCCCAAGCTGAGTACACGGAAGCAAACAAGCAAGTGAAGAAGAGCATCAGAGCCGACAAGCAGAAATACGTGGAAGAACTAGCAACGACGGTGGAAAAAGCTGCGAGAGAAGGAAATATGAAACAACTATGTGATACGACGAAGAAACTGACAGGGAAATATAGTAAATCAGAGAGACTGTTCAAGGACAAAGAAGGCAGAACAATCACTGAAATTCAAGAACAGCGGAACAGATGGGTAGAGTACTTCGATCCAAGTTTAAAGTCATAACAATACATAAGGGGAAAACTAAGGTGCTCAAATTCCAAACGGAGAAAAGCAATCCAATCACTCTTGATCGCGAGACCCTGGAAGATGTAGAATCCTTCACATACCTGGGAAGCATCATCGATGAACAAGGAGGTTCAGATGCAGACGTAAAGGCGAGGATCGGCAAAGCCAGGTTCGCATTCCTACAAGCGAAGAACATATGGAACTCAAAACAACTTTCAACCAATATCAAAGTGAGAATCTTCAATACGAACGTCAAAGCAGTTCTACTGTACGGAGCTGAAACTTGGAGAACCACAAAAACCACCATCAAGAAGGTACAAGTATCTATAAACAATTGTCTACGCAAGATACTCAACATCGATTGGCCGGACACTATCAGCAATAGCCTTCTGTGGGAGAGAACAAAACAGCTTCCAGCTAAAGAAGTTAGGAAAAAACGATGGAAATGGATAGGACATATATTGCGCTAATCATCAAACTACATCACGAGGCAAGCCCTAACTTGGAATCCTGAGAGGAAGCGGAAAAGAGGAAGGCCAAACAACACATTACGTCAGGATATAAAAGCAGATATGAAAAGGATGAATAACAACTGGATGAAGCTGGAAAGGATCGCCCAGGACAGAGTTGGATGGAGAATGCTGGTGTGCGGCCTATGCTCTTTCACGAGTAGTAACAGGCGTAAGTAAGAAGATATGATCAATACATCTTCGTTAAGGACGACAACCAGACTGCTCCTTGCCAGTCAATCTTTCTCGGGTCTGAACAACCTACGAAGTATGACGGAAGCCAATAGCTTGGACGCAATCGGAAGTAGACTTATCCCCCTATAGTTCTTGCATAGATTGCGTGAACCCTTTTTAAAGATAGGGACGATTATCGACCCACTCTTTGACGTTAGAACACTCTCTAACTTCCAAACCTTTGTAAACAACGTCGTCAATTCTTTAGTCAAAAAGTCACCACCATCTTTAAAAAGAGCCGGAGGTAAGTCATCTGGGCCCGTTGATTTGTAGCGCTTCAAGAGTTGGAGCCCCTTGCGGACACCTGCCTCATTTGGTGGATCAGTCGTCACGGGCCATGGAGGGATGGACAGTCTGATCGATGTTGCTGGAGCAGCTGGCCAGTTGAACGTCCTCTCGAAAAACTCTGACTATCGTCCAAGACGTCGTTTGATGTTAGCGATTGGCATCCCGTCATCTGCACAGATTGTTTCGCTCACACCAGACCTCTTGCCGCCAGTGGCTCGGATGAGTTAAAAGAGCTTCCGGTAATTACCAGATGCAGCTGCTGCTTCCAGCTTATTAGCACGCTTCGACCACCAGGCTTTTCGGTTCTTACGCAAGCTTTACCCGATTTCATTACGTAACATCCTTCGTTTCTGGTCAAACTCAAAGTCACCCGGAGTAGACTGACGGGCTTCGATAAGTTGCAAGGTGCCTGAAGAAACCCATTCCTTATAAGCGGGACGTTTCTCGAAGCCACATGCGACTATACTCGCCATTTTCATGGTACTGTGCAGTTGCAACCAATGCTCATCTATACTTTTCGCTGGGATGGTAGCTAGCCTAGAAGTTAGCTCAGTTCAATACGTACTAGCAACAGAAGCTGCAGTCAGTTTACTGACATCAATCCGTTTAGGACGATGAATTTGTTGGCCACTGAAAGGAAGGTAAGGTTGGCGCAAACAAGGGCAAGATCAGAGCCTATATAGTTACTACGAAAGGGGCGGCAGTTTTGTACACAACCACGCCAGGGGTAGCTGATCGTCATGTGCCCAATTTGAGTCCAGGACTGAGATGCAGAGGGAGGACGCCAGGTGGCACGTTGACGCTGACTGTGCCGAAAGTTAGTGCTAGCCAGAAACAAGTTGTGGTCTGTGCACAGTTGCAGTAGACGGTCCCCGTTATCGGTCCTGCGACCAACAAGTCCCCATCGGCCACCTAAACGACTTTCATCTGTGCCTAGACGCCCGACCTGAGCATTCAAGTCTCCGGCTAGTACTACAATATCTGTCGAACGCACTTTCTGGGGAAGAACAGATAACTGGTGGTAAAACTCATCCTTGATTGCTTCCGGGCTGCAATCTGTCGGGGCATAGGCGGAGATGACGAAGAGACATCGTTTCTCACGCCGATTTCTTCTCACTTTGATGGAACTTTCTAATCCAACAGCACATAACCGACTGTTAATGGGGATCTAATCGACTAGTGCTGCCTCAGCCCTAGCGCTTAGTGCGACACCAACGCCAGCGAGACCAGACGTGGATACCAGAGGGTCCCCGGATAAACGCACATAAAACGAGCTTATCGAAGCGACATATGGAGAGCTAATTTGTAGTACTTCGCTAGAGTTTTGAATACGGGTTTCGGATAGACAACAGTCGACGATATTAAGACTTTCCAAATACCTGGAGGTCTAGAGGTCCAATCCACAAGACGGTGAAACAACGTTATGAGATGCAGTCAAATGGTAGCCGGTGAACAATAATTGGTTCATACGCCATTAGTTCCCTCGCGATCGTGGAAACCACTGGTTTAGAATCAGGGTTTTCCAACTCCCATAGGTGGATCCTCCGTATCCATCAACCCGGTTAAAGCACAGGATATTCGTTTTTCGTCCTCTCAATCTCGTAAACAACACCCCAGCCACGAGAAGGTAGTGAGTAGGACTTCACTGGCAGTGGTTGTGTGCACGTGGCCATGTGAGAGCATTTCGAGAGAGAGAGAGAGGTCGGAGTCTCCCCACTCTCGGGCGTACCAGGGCATTTGTGCATTACATATTATATTCACAGTCAGTCAGCTACAACGTAGGACCAGGCACATATGTGCATCGGTCCAGGTTGGCCGCCCCTAACTTTCTTCCAACCATCTCCAATACCGGATAGCATTGCACGTCGTGGTAGTCGGTGTTCATGCATACGTAACACGTGGCCCAACCATCTCAGTCGATGAAGATTCACAACCTCATCGACTGATTTACCATCATTACCTAATACCCTGCGTCTAACCTCACCATTACTTATCCGGTGATCCCAGCAGACGCCAGCAATATTTCTAAGGCCATCTGTGGTCAAATACTAGTAGCTCACGGGTGTCTACTACTCTTAAAGGCCATGTTTCGCTGCCGTAAAGTAAGACAGAACGGACTGCCGCGCAGTATACCCGTCCTTTTAATGATAGACGGATATCTCGCCTTCGCCATAGGTGACGCAAGTTGGCAAAAGCCAAGCGAGCTTTTCGAATCCGTGCTGAGATTTCGTCAGACACCAACCCATTAGGGCTGATCAGACTTCCAAGATAAGTGAAGTTGCCAACGCGTTCGACTACTTCACTCCCTATCCTTAGTTCAGGTGTTGACGCAGACCAGTCCAGAAGCAACAACTTGCATTTAGAGGGAGAGAAGCGCATTCCAAACATTCTGGCATTGTTGCTTAGTGCTACCAAAAGACTCTGCATTTTATCGGCGTCTTCACCAAACAGGACTATATCATCTGCGTATTCTAAGTCGATAAGTGGACCTCCTGGTAGGAGATCAGTGCCCGAAAATCCAGTCGACGAGAAAGTTATTTCCATCAGTATGTTTATGATGAAGTTAAGCAAAAATGGGAAAAGTGGACAACCTTGACGGACACCACTTGAGGTTGCAAAAGTAGATGACAGTTCGCCATAAGCTCTGACTCGACTAGTAGCGTTCGAGTAAAGAGCCTTCACAAGGTTTATATACTTCTGGGGCACGCCTTTCAATGACAGACACTGCCACAGAATCTCGCGGTCTACGGAGTCAAATGATGCTTTTAAGTCAAGAAAGACCACCATTGTCGGACGCCGATAAGTATGTCTGTGTTCTAGAACCTGACGAATGGTGAATCTGTGGTCGATGCAGCCACGACCAGGTCTGAAGTCAGGCTGATTTTCTCATGTTTGCAGTTCACGAGTCTTAGTTAGGCGTCCGATAATTATTGAGGCTAGTATTTGAGATGCTATATTAGTTAAACCAATCCCTCTATTGTTATCAGAGGATGATTTTGACCCTTTCTTATATATTGGGACGATAAGTGATTGCGACCAGTTAGATGAGATAACGTCTAACTCCCAGATCTTAGCTAAAATATTAGTCAACCTAATCACTTAAATTGGACCACCATCCTTAAAGACTTCTGAAGCCAGTCCATCTGGACCAGCTGCTGTTCCTCGTTTCAGATTAACTATAGCCTTTTGAACTTCAGCAAGAGTTGGGGGACCTACTTCATTGTTCCATTCACACTGTCTGGGAATGGAGGGTAGTTGTAGAGTCGCTGAAGGCCAGTTGAACTGCTGAATACATTCGATTGTCCCCACCCTTGTTCCGTTCACTACAACTCTACTCCAAATCATCCTGAACTTTTTTAAATAACCTTTTTAATTTGCAAATAACACAATTTCGAAGTATATATGTCGTAACAGATGTAAACGTTTACCATTTTTAACACATAACATTGTGAAATTCATTAATACAAGCCTTATTTTGGCATTTTTAAATTATCATAATTATAGAGCCTGATGATGAGGTTATTGAAACCAATTGTTCGCTCAATACATAATACACAAGAAGTCTTCATTTGTTTAGAAAAACAGACTGATTGTGTTTATAGTCGAAAGTATTGTGTTGAACCAAAAAGGATGAAGTTATTGTTGGGGGAAGAAGTCTGCTAGCAGTCTGCTCGATGCAGATTGAGACTAAGGCAAATCCTGATAACTGTCGCGAACGGTATAATAAAAGCACGGGTAACATTTACTGCAACATTCGCAGATGTTACTGAAGCTTCGACTGTTAAGTGGTATGACTATTTTAGGGATATATGCGTAATAACAATTATAAGCTTACACATCTAGAGTGCATACAAACAATATTGAAGCTATGTGGTCGAAGCTGATATAGTTTTTGTGACCTTATTATGGCTCCAGAGGTCGACTATTATGGAGCCATATGTATGAGTCCTTCTACCGTATGCATTACTATTTTAGAACCTCTGAACCTTGTCAAGTTTTCGAACTCTGTGAAAAAATGTGTATCCGTTTTAATTCTTAAGTTTTGTATAATATATTTTTACTCTATTACTATCTGTTTCCTGATTGTCTAATATTTCCCAAGTTCACTTTAGTTTCATTCAAGGGTATCCCATAAAGTATAATCTCGCCAACACGCCTGACACAGGTTGTGCGATTAGTAGACACAATGATGTGTTAAATCAGATAAAAAAATAACTTTTTAAAATATTTTAATGGCAAAAACAGGTAGCACAGATATTCGTGCAGGCCGCCAGTTAAGTTAGTGAAGATGGTATGCCTAGTTCTCCTATCATTAAATGTCACCAATAAGTTTATCAAATTATGGTAGATTGTTATAGTCCTGTGGAATGCAGTTCTTATTTTATTAATTAAGTTTTCGTTTTTCGTACAGTACAACTATGGGTTTAGAAGAATATTGGTCTGAAAAAGTTCCTTACACACCCGAATCACGAATTGAAACACATGAATATATGCAACAAAAAGAAAAATCAAGACAAGAAACAAAAAACTCAAGGTACCTAAATCACATAATAGTATGTAATGTTTAATTTATGAAATAGGAATCCTATTGAGATTTGTTTCCATATATATGCTAAATTAGATTAACGTTTACAAGTATACCACTTTGACGAGAAGTCAATATGGAGTAAAGGATAACCGATTTTAAGAATTAAAACTCATATTTTTTAAATATATCGATGTGCATTTTTATTCATAATTCAGGTTTCCATACACATTTTCCTGCTTGAACATCTGCATCAGTTAATTGAAAAAAAACAGAGTACAAGCAAAATGTCAGGAGGGCCCGGTAGCAAAGATATGTTTATGGGGACCAAATAAAGTTTTCGCAGGAACAAAACTGTTAGTAATATCAATTGCGGATAATGATTGAATGGGTGGCACTTCGTTTGAAAATAACAGGTGTTTCTCCTGAATAAATAACAGCCATATCCAACTACAATGTTGATTTTTATTCTTATTATAATTCAAAGGTTATATTTTGAAGATGGATATACCGGGTATCATGACGTTTCTACCTTTTATAATTGCATTTTACGCACTTTACACAATAGCAGATTCTGGGAAGTCTCCAGATTTCATTTTACTCCTGTGTAGATTCTGATGGCTCCTTAGAAAGCCAATTACAAACTTTTAGTGCTCGATTTCTAATGCATTATATTTATCTTAAGATCCTTTAAAATCGGAACCTTTCTGTTGCGCGCATCCCAGAGTCACAAACAGACCATGGAGAGCCTTAGAATGTGTAATAGATTAAATAACAAACAAAGTTGCTTCATTTTTAAGGCACTTATAAATTCTTTATCTCTTTGGTAAATTCATATTTGAATTTTAGTTTGGAATTGCTAAAATTCTAAAATACCATTAGAAGTTACTGGTGTATTTAAAAAAAAACTATATGGAAGTTTAGGTGACACAACTGTTCACCTCTAGATCAGATAATATTGAGTTTCACCAATGAAAGTGAAAATAACAGCTGATCGATACTTCCCGCTGTTATCATCCTTAATTTTCAAAGTGACTCGTGCTGCTGTTTTATTTAAGAAACTAGATTAGTTCTACTTGATTGAGTTTGGTATCAATCAAATGCAACCTCTGGCTCTTGGATATGTTTATTGTTCGAAGATAAGGTATATTGATGAGCTGCACACGTGCGTTCAGTTTGTGTATAAAAGTTCAGTGCATTCATGGGATTTATATCACAATCAAAACCATCAACAGCTTTGAAACCCTTGAACTTTTTCATAAAAGCCTTTAATCTGGTATGCTTCATTAAAAGGCAGTTATCAAAATTTACCACCAAATAATCTTTAATAATGTTGATCGCCTCAAATAGCTTTAGGGCGTTTTTTTGTATCTTTTCGGTCATGAAGTAAGATAGGTTAAAGTTTTAAGATAGTTGAAGAAATAAACTTACATGATATATACATACAAAGTTTTACGTAATAAAATCTTCTCAGGATAGAACCGCGAGTAATCACAAAATATTTTGCCGAAGACGGCCGACCATACAATATCAACACAGCTAAGTACGTTTGTATGATTTTTTTCGTTATTGTATTTTGTTCGCTATTTGTCTAGTCCAAACAAAATCGCTTACTGATTTATTTATGAACACCATCTGTTGATATATGTTCCACCTGAAGAACTGTTTTTTCTTGGTTTTCGTTATATTCAAAATGTCAAGTTAAATATCAATCAAACAGATAGACCGAAAATGTGAACATATGTGATAACGAATCGTGGTCTGAACCTTATACTGTACTAAACTGAATATATAGAAATTATTCGTCTTGTGCTGGTTTTTCTAAAGTTATCACATCTGTTGACCTTGAATCTCCATAGTGGTAAGAAATTTCACGGCTATAAATCAAAAGAACACACTGTCTCATTCGAAATGCGTCAGACGTTACACTGAATAGCTGTAGCAAATAAACTATCGAATAACCATAGAAAATTACAGTGATATATAACTCTAATTTTGTCCCAGTGAAGTCCACTTCAAAATAGAGTTTTATACATACTTTACTATTCATATTGGTAATTTGATTTTATCGCGTAAATGTAGATTGACAGCTTAGGCTTATCCACACTTTTGTCAGCCCCAACTTTGATTATGACAGACTAATAATACTGTTGTTTGGGTAGCAACAAGTTCAAATGCAACGGCGGTTTGGAATTAAGCTTGTCGGTTAAGTAATTTCATATTTTTTTTCAGACAGTCGTCATAAATTAATGTAGCAAATGTAGTTTATGACATACAATCTGTTAGTTTCTATGAGAATTATAAATTCATTTGACTGAAGTTTTGAAACTGTATTGGCTTTAGTTGCGTGAATGTCATTCGTGAACTAATTGACACTAAATCTGACAAATAGGGTAGTTTTATGCAATAATCAAGGTGCGATATATCCAAGTGCAGTATATTGATAAAGTTTAAAATACTATAAATCCGTATAAATTATTCTTTGGAAATGGTTTCTGTGAACTAAATTATGTCGTGTTTTTTTCCATTGTGTTTAATAATTCGTCTGTACCCAGAAAACTACAAAATATGGACTTGTTTTACAAATAATTAGCGCTTATCTCGCAAAAACAATTTCGAGAATAAAAACATTGATTGGGATATGTGCGAAGGAAGTAAACATTTGTTACGCATTGAATGTTCAGTTGGGAGGTTGTTATAAAAGTTATGAAGCAGTTAACGGTTATGCAAAGTACGTTACCATAGCTGTGAATAGTCGACGGTAACTTCGTCTTTCTTATGTAAACACACCCACAATCTCGTGTGTTATCACGTATTTTGATAAGTTATTTTCAGAAGACAAACCGTTACGTGCACTCTCTAAATATTACAATTTTTTGGTATTCGGGTTGTTACAACGAATGTATGGAATGAATGAATTCATTTTGCTCTTCTAGAACAACTGTTCTTGATGGATTAAGCACCTCATATTGATATGTAATTCTTCATTTTGACCGAAGTTAGCAAGCTGTGACCAACGTAATGTTTAACGATTCAGATAATTAGTTACCTATGAACTTACAATCCTAGACCAATTAATATGAACAAGGTGTCCCGAATCAGGAATTTAACTTAATGAAATTTCGCTGCCTGATAGACAGCTTTTATGACTGCATTCCATAATCAAACTGTCTAATCTTTTAGGATAGAGTTCAACCTCAAGGAAGATATATTAGACGATCACGATGTTTACATACTCGATGTTGCTGTATATAAGTGAGTCATTCATGCTTAGCAACTTTTATTTTTGTGTGAATAGTAATCTTAACATGAATCATTCAATTTGATGCTTTCTCATATGTTTTCTCTTATTTTTAATCATACAAAGAAAAGCAATTCTCAGAGCACGAGTTGTACGCACATCAGTATACTAAACATTAACTTCATTTTAATCTTTACAGATTTTCTTATTTGTACTTTCGGAAGGTGGATATGCTCTATCAGAACTAAACATCGGTGATCATTTCTATAGAATTTTACAAAGTATCAATTAATTAGGTGACTAGATTCGATTTACAATACAGTAATGTACATTAATAATAATAATAATAATAATAATAATAATAATAATAATAATAATAATAATAATAATAATAATAATAATATGTAAGTAAACTGTTAAGAATATTCCTAATCTCAATAATGATTTTTTTCAAATCTAGTCATCAGAAAGGAAGAATGCCACGATCAGTAAAAACTGGATAGAAGGCGAAAGAAGCCCATTTATTCATCAAAAAGCGTGATGTTTCAGTGAAGAAAATTTTCTTTTCGAGATATAATTTTCTAAAGCTGCACAATTGTATTTTTGGGTAGTTTTTACATATATTAGTCTATATTAAAACAGAAGGGTGCTACAAAATCATTAAAGATAGTCAAATTTATTCGAGTGTCAAATGTAAAAGTCTATGAAAATGAAGTAGTGTTGCATAAATGTAGTCATGACTGTCAGAAGATTTCAAGTATTGAATATAATAATGTGTAAATAGAAGGGTGTTATTCCAATGTAATCAGTGATGCAACTTTGACTTTTTTGTAACGAACCTCTATTATATTGAACACTACTACTTATAAAAATTGCTCAAAAATACGATTACACAGATTCAGAAAATGATATCGTCGAGAATAAATTCTTCACTGAAACGTTTTCATTGTTTAAAATCCGATAATTACTTCAAACACTCAAGGATTATAAACAGATCTATGTGGTCAAAATAGGTACATGGTGTTCATTAGCCATTAATTGTTATCGCAGTTTCAGCTCTTTTTTTGCTACAAGTCTTTCTATGATCTGAGAGATTTAAAAACTAAACTCTGATTGCAAAACGAGCAACAATGTAAATATCAAATGTACGTATTCTATGAGGAAAGTATCTGGAAACTATTTTGTAAGCTTTTGACAAAATCGGGTTGGAATAGGGATTCTTTTTAAGAGGGAATGCTTTTCAGTATTCACTCGTTTTTATACTTCATATATATCGTGGTAAAACATCGATCTCATGTTGAGATTTGCTCTGAATATTCATTTGATAAGGATTCGGAAATTTTATTAGTTTTTTATTGAACAATGTTCTCACTATACGGTCAAAATTTTTTTGATTTACTAAGTTTGAATTATACTTTCTGTTAAGATACAACCTGTTTATCATTATGTCGTGAGAAATTACCCGAATTTACTCTGATGGTACATAAATAATATTTTCGGAATCTTATTAAATTTTAATGTGTTTTTCCTACTCAAAATACTTTTTTCATAATAGGCATATGGATACAGCTTTGATAAAATGCGACATACAAGTCAATTACGTTCGAGTAACACTTAAAAGAAAGGTAAGATAATCATGAAATCTTATAAACAACAGACGAGTAAGTTCGTTTTTACTAAGTCGTCTGGGCCTGGTGATTCGAGGTACTTTATTGCTCATTTAAATATATTAAAATAAAGGACGTTGCAAATTATCAGGCTGTTATGGTTAGATTTGAGACATATTCTTGAGGATATTTCTGGTAATCGAACTCCATTAGTTCACATAGCTCAAGTTAAAAACGATTCGGGTAATGTCCGGAAACCTTAACCCAGTGTTTCTAGAAACTCAGTAGACAATGTTTTTGGCATTTAATGCTTGATGGCTTTAAATCCAGAGATAAATACCTTAGTCTTCGAATGATAAGATAGGAAAATGAGATGACAGTGGTACATACCTCTACCTTGTCTTGTGGATCAACTAATTTCTAAACGGAATCTAACCGAGTTGACTTCGATACGTTTTTGTAGACATCATAGTAAATTGCTCTAAAGTTAATTTGAAAAGGTCACAAAGTTATTAAAGTGATGATAGTATGATTAGAGAACAATTCTAACGATGTTCTTCAACGTGCCAATAAACATGGTGTATCGATCAACCTATATTTGATAACTGGAAGCAACGAGTGGCTAGTTAGGATACTTTAAATGGTCTTACATAAAATATAAACTGTATCTTGAATAGGTTCATGATTGACCTTTTCATCAAGCTAAGTAGTTTCAGTTGCAAAGGTGAAGAATTATTCTTCAGTGTTGGACACATGTAACCTAAAATTCATGTACAAGATTTCTTGTATCTTTTCATCATAGTACAGTAGGTCGTTTCGCTACTATGTATGCACAATATATCCTGCCGAGGGAAAAACAAAATTGGTCCAAACAAAGGTCAATTTATTTTCATTAATCCCTTACTGTAATTCAGTCGTCTAATTATCTATGTTCATACCCATATGTGTGATTATCTGCACGTCTGTTACTTATTCTCTTATTGGCTGTAAACAGTCAATCATTAGTTCACTAATCATTTACACGCATTAATTGATATAAAAACCACACTCTTCAGATTCTGTTCCCATATCTGGTCTTATTGCTAACATGCTATCTGTTGAGTTAATTCACTTCTGATAAAGATCGATGCCAACGCACCTCGTATTTCCTTCTAGAATTCCCAAGTAGAAGTACAATACTCTGAGAATGGGTTTGGAATAGTTAGTTATATTTAAAGTCAGTGAAATAGTAACTTAGCCATACAAAGTTTAATATTGAACAGTAAACCAAGGTTATTACATACGATGCCTTCAGAATATATTCTTCCGTTGATAGACCTTCTGGGAAATCGTAAGATTGAAGCGAATTCTTTTATTGTTATACAAACACAACTTACCATGTTATTACTTTAATATAAATATTTATTCTACCTGTTTTAAAGCTATTCAGTTAAATGAAAAAGGTCGTTAATCGATATGGCCTAAATTGATTACAAAATACTCGGTTTTGTTGATTTACGTGTTCACAACAATGCATATTTTGCCTGTTATTTTTCTAGGTTTTCCAACTAGCTTTACCAGATGAAGTTAGAGCCGATGCTTCACATGTTAAGCGTTCTTTAACGACAGGACATTTGCTGATTACTATGCCAAAGGTATAAAGTCGTTATCAAGTTAATCAAATGTTTATCACAATCCTAAATTCACATGCTTTAAACGATGTACTTTGCCCTTAACCTGGCCATTTTTCTAATTAATAATTTGGATATATAAATGTAGAACCTGAAGAGAATTTATCGAAAAGAATATTCTTCGTTCAAATACTAGTCTTTTACCTGTTGAAATCATGAGTCAATTGAAGCTAGACCACTATGGAAAACCTGGACGGCCGTCTCGTCCTAGTATGGGACTCCTCAGCAGTGCTTCCAGGGTTTTCATGTTGGTCTAGCTTCAATTGACTCATAATTTCAACAAGCGAAATTTCTAAAATTCTCCACAAAATCCATTCTGATACTAGTCTTTTAATCAGATGTATTAATCTCTTGCTTTTCACATATATGATCTAAGAAATAAATCGCCAAAAAAGTGAAATATTTTCCTTTTGCTACTTTGTTTATTGAGACAAGGTTTGTCCTGGATCTTTACAGCCTAGTTTAGACATTCCTGATGTATATTAACCTTGTATCCATTATTTTAAAGCTAGAAAGGAAGCATACAGATTATTGTCATGATCTTGTCGGAGAATTTGTACACCTAGCCTAATACGCATTACTAAATCTATTTGTAAATGTGACATATTGATGGCAGGCTAAAAGGAGAGAGAAAGCAGAAATAGCTTTCTTAGAGAACGCCATTGATCTATGTTGCGGATAAATGCAATCAATAATATGGAGTCTGATCATCAGAAATTGCTAACTTTGAAACACGTAGAATTTATAACAAAAACACACAACTGTTAACATACACCTGCACAAATATCATGATGCTAAAATAGATCAGATCCATCTATATACCATGTAGCTTCTTCGCTGAAATAATTGGTCTAGAACAATACAAACCTCCCAATTTGATTGGTTATTATTGACCTTTAACCTCATTGTCTGAACGTTTATTTTGATTGCCTCCCCTTTTGACATGATATTTGATTTATATTTATCAATGAATTTCCCAATTGAGTTGATTTCGATATGTTTACTGATTGACCTTAGTGTCAAGAAGTTCTATGGTTGTCTATACATTTCCTTTGTTCAAAACTTCAATACTTTTCCAGTTGAATATATCTATAAAATTACAAATCATTTCATTCTTATCCAAACCAATGTGAAATGACAAAAGAAGCAAAGCAAAACGCCATCGAAACAAACTGCTAAAAACACTACATCGGACAGTGAGCTGTCTTCATCTTCGTACTCATGAACACCAACTAGCTGTCAAACGCCATTATGAGTTCTTACTTATATCAATGAACGCGCACAGTTATGAACACAAATTCAACTAGGAAAATGCTTAAATTTTAGATAAAGAAGACCAGACAGGGCATGTTGTCAGTCACATGTGAAGAAATTGAAGCACATCGCTTCTGTCTGAAGTTTGTGCTGATGACGTTATTCGAAAAAACAATGGTAGCTCAACGAATAAAATATCTAGGTCAGAACAAAACTGCAACCGAGCAAACAATCTTCACTATCGCAGAACTACCACCGGTTCATCAACAGAGGTGGTTCGGACCTGTTTTACATAAAAGTATAGATTAGAAAAGACAGTAGGTAAATCAAGACTATGTACCACTTCGTGAGGCTTCCAACTGCAAATCCCGGCAGTTTAGAGGCATGTAAAGACTTCGATGTTGTGTTTCGCGATAAAATTCTAATGGTGATAGACTTTATGTGATAATGTTTAATAATCGATCACAGCTTTGAACATGCTTCATTATTTGTACTTGATCTTATTACTATTCATTACTTTTTTTAGCTTTATTCTTATGTCTAGATTCTAGCTCCTGTTGGTATTCTGTGGTTTCACTTGTGTTATCTTTATCTTAGTGGGCTGGAGTTAAGTATATGCATTCTTGATGATACTGATATATTTGGTTTCTAATTTGGCAAACATCATTCTCGCAATTCTGGAAACTTAGGAATCTAACAATTGCTGACATACTTCGCCACTGCAAACTGTCTAAATTGTGTACAGTAATATCGATATTCAGAAACTAAGTAATGTTTTTGTTAGATATGCAGAGGAATACACCAATAATTATCGTGTTAAGTCGAATGGTGTCCTTGGACGTTAAATGGACACTTCCTATTGGTCGATGTTCATCTCAGTTGTTAAATATTGTTTTCCATTTTGTGGTACGATTTGGTTTGTTTGGTTGGTATATAAACAGAGTATGTCTGAAATATAATGATTCATAACTCAGAGGCTGGGACTTGCGCTCTAGACTCAACTGGCTGGGTTAGACAGCGAAGCAGGGCCAATCGGGACACTAGGTTGTCCATTACGTGTCACAGAAGCGATCGATAACTACGCTGCGCATCTAACCTGCAAACCACCCGTTACAACAGTTTTCAAATGTCATTATTCTTATAGAATAATCAAAGTAGACAATACTACGTTGATGTGCTGAACGATAAAACAACATATAAGTCTGTCCGCGAATAACGATTTTGAAAGGCACATCACGGTAATCAAAATTTTCAATATGAAGAACCTGGTCAAATTTTTACCAGCAAAAATATCTGATGCGTCTATATGTTTACTGAACTTCTGTCATATTTCTCTGTATTCCATGAATCAAATGTGTTCATTAGTTCGTGAGGGTGACAATCTTCATATAAACGTATGAGAAATCTTTTAAAGATGAGTGCCTTAACTGTAAGAATTCCTAATTTTATAAAAATATTGGAAATAGACCGATATCCATCGATGAAGATTGATTTACCACTTTTAACACAGAATGAAGGCTGTTTATTTATTTTTAACCAATAGCTGTAAATTATCAACAGTAAGGTATGTTAATAATATTTTCGCTAAATTTATACACAGGCATCTCAGGAAATCAGAATATCGGCAAATAATGAACATAAAAGTTCTCACGAAAAAACCAACAAAACGTAGGTTGTATACGTAAAATGTTTTTATAATTATCCCACAACGTTTTTGATAAATTTGCGTAATCTCGATTGTTGCGTTTGGCTTTCATTCGCTTTATATTCATTTGCATAGGTGATAAATTTAGATAATGTATTTTCAAACCTGAATCCTTTTAAATCTAGAAATAATTGAATACAAGGATTGTTTTTGTTGTAGTATTTCTATTATTGTTGCAATCGCTTCTCCGTCTAAAAATTTGTCACTATTTTTGCCTTGTTGAACTTTCAGAAATCATATTTTTGTTCAGGATTTTAATAAGCCAAACGCTACTTTTAGTGAACTCTCTGGAAACAATTCATCAAAATATAAGAAATCGCTTCTTCACATCAAAAAACAATCGACGACCCCAAGAATGTACAACGAATATATTGAAGACTGTTCAGACGTTCCACCGCTTATTTGATTCGTGGGATTTACAAACAAACCGTTTATATTTTGGACTGTTAATTTTGATTTATGAATGTGAACAAACTTAAGTTTGAATATTTATTTAGAAAGACACTGATTTATTTTGTTTTCCTCACGCTTTGCATTTACAAAATACTACATGGTACTTAGCCTCACTTTCAGGAAATGAGCCTCTGTTTGAACTAAAGAGAAAGTGCATTGGGTTTCCAGAGGGAAAAGAATCTGAAATATCTATTTTCTATTGATCCGAATAAACCTTGAGATGTTATTTCAATGTTTCCTACTCGTATAAGTTAGTGTCACAGTTACTAGAAACAGTTGTAAATCCAGTCAAGCCTTGGGAAATTTCGGTTTGTGTGTTTATTGATATACCGAGTACCTAAGAAATTTTATAGGAATACAGTAACGATAGTGTGGCAAAGAAGGTATATGTAATTGCTAATCATAATAAATTATGCAAACGATAAATGTTTTAAGAAATCAAAATTAACCTATTTGTGCATGCATTATGTGGCAAATTAATAATTTCGAAAATTCAGTTTGATGTGAAGTAAAGATTACGCAGATTAGCTCAATACATTGAGAAATAATATATACAAACAATACAACAGTGAGTGGAAAAATCTATAAAATCAATTTCTAGTGCTTTAAAAATTGAACTTCATCCTGTGCGCATAAACACGGAAATAGGAAACAAATGAAATATACCCACTTAAAATGCTGAGGTTTTAGAAAGAAAACATTAAAAAATTATGACGTACAAGTGTAGGTTTCGTTATTGGTTAAAAGTAAGATATGAACTAATAGAAACCGGTGTTCTTCGCTTTCACGAATAAATCTGTTTTGAATAGAAACAATTTGATGGTTGTTAAAATGGACAACCGATTTGTTTTCACGTACATATTGTGAATACTTACATCCGAGTGACTAGACTGTTGAAAGAAGGTAAAACATGTGAACGATTATTTGGAAAACCAAGATTAACATCACCTTCATTCTTTATATTTTCGACTGTGTGATCTTCTTCAGTGGAAGAAATGTCATTAAATAACTCCCCATTTAGTTGTCTCGAATCGCAAAGTACAACTGAATTACCAGTTTCAGGTGAGGCTTGTATAAAGATTAGAAAAAAGAAAACAGTATATAAAAGGGTAAGACATCTCAACGTGACAATATATATATATATATATATATGTAAAGCATTAGGCGGTTAATGAAGTAGCAGAAACGAGACTTGAACGTGTGTAATTCGTAAATGGAGAGTGCTACCGGTGATAACCATGGATTAATAGCTGGACAATGAACTTATTCAGAAAAAAACAGTGTTGTCCTTCGAAGGTTTTACATCTGCCATCTCAATTCAGTATTTTCAAAGGATAATGATCTGTTACTTTGAATGACAGGTTCAGTACAGAATATCTAAATGCATCCAAACGAAAAGCAAAGCGCGTTTTTACAGTAAACCACAATCAAACAGAACTAACATATAATTGTAAGTTTATTGACAACTTTTGATAAAACAAACATAATTGCTACTTGGGTTTAACAGTCGAAGTTTATAGCCTTCTGAGATTTTTGTGTACAAAATATTAACACGACCAGATGATCCATCAGAAATCACTTTAAAGTATCGACATAATTGTATGGGCATACGAACGACACAAAATTAGAAGGGATTCTTATATTCTAATTGAAGAATAATTTTTTAGTTTTTATTTACCGTTCAAATTTAAAACAAAAATTAAAATTTTCAAAGGATGAAATAAGCACATGGTACAAAACGTTGATCAACAGTTTACCGGTGAGTCACTATGATACACGTCAGGAGGAGAATACAGACGTAGTAAACATTGTACTACAAATAACGTATCGAGGAAAGTATGACTATTTTCCCTCAACAAAATTGTGCAGACAATGCAAATGTATGAACTAACGAAATTAGTGGAAGATATTGCTACTCACCAATACTTGAACTATATTCTTGTGTTTTCCTTCTAATTGTGTTATCATGTTGATAGGCACTTTTTCCGTTATCTGGGTTGCGTAAAGCGTGTGTGCTTAAGTAATTTGACGAAAAGTGATCCCGCTCCATGTGATGGAGAGGAGATTTTTTAAACTTTGACTCTAATTCTCCCCTGCATAGATTTCTCAGTGCCATTGTCCCAGAGCTGTACTCACTTGAACGTGCGATGTGTTTGTAAATAAAGGATCGTAGTAAATGACGATTTTCCTAAAAGTATGGATCCATACTAAATAATAAACTGTATTTAGGAAAGTAATTAAGAACGACGTTACATTTCAGAAACAATAAAGAACCACAAGCCAAGTATTAAAATTACATAGTAATTTTGTATTTGAATTAATAGTACTGCAGTATGTTACAGTTGGTTTCATATCAGGAGTATTCGCAAAAGTGATAAGACCACAGATCAAGACATTTGTATTGTACAACATTACGCTCATAAGATCAATATCTGAATATTAATCGACCGACTTCAACAAAACTAAAAATATAGATGGGACGCTGCGACCTTTTCTTCCCTCGAAGAGAAGATTTTCCACTTTGTAGTTTACATCATGAATTTATATACGGCAGATATTCAGTGAAAACCAGAAAACTAGTGAGTTCTTTTGTTATTTTATAGGGACCCTATAGTCTAGGAAAATATTTCTAGAGCAACATAGAGATGATAGTAACGACAGTGGATGTGTAAGGTTCCAACATTAAAAACGCTTAAAGATGAAGAATCGAACTATGTTGATGAAAAGTGATAACTTGTTGACAAACATAGTTCTTTGGTCCAGATGGTTAAACGTGAATGAATATTAGAAAAAAGGATGATTATCAGCGAAACCCATTATTATCGAGAAACGAGGAACGTGTATAAAGTAATTATCATGATAATTAATTCATATCATAATGTGAATAAAAATTGATGTTCATTCAACTGTTTCAAACACTAATAATGAGATTTAATTCCTTTTAAATGTAAGAGGGTCAGATATCACTTCATATGTGATAAGTGAAGACATTCGATATGTCGATTTCAACAATAGAAGTGTTGTTGATGACTAGCATCTCCAGATATACTATTTACTAATGGTAATAATAAGTTTAGGAATCACAGCAAATTCGTTTATCTAAACGATTCATATCGGTAATCGGAAAGATCTTAAATGACACTTCGAGTAACTAATGATCTATGAAGCATTTTTTCATCTGCAATCTAAACTTGCAGTTATTTTGGAGGTCAGTCTACCCTAACAAATCTTGTTAATCTTTTAATTAGCAACATTTTGGAGACAGCTTTATAATGAAAGAAATAGCAGTGAAATACAACTATCTTCTATATGAAAAAACATTTCGATATCAGAATACGACTTGAGTATGTGAACAAAGACATGTTAGTTAAGTTGTACTTAACCATCTGTGAAAAATGTAAAAACTATTTCGATCGTTACAGATGTCGAGTTTTGATAACTTAAAACGTAAGTGAATTTCATGTAGAGTACGTTACAGTTAGCAATAAATAAATTCCTCAATCAGATATTCGAGTGTGTTTATGCTGTGAAAATTAAATTAACGAAAATGGTGTTACCTCATCAAAAACGGCGACTAGAAGAAACATAAGTACAGCTGTTAGAGCCATTGCAACTGGTACAACAATTAGCATAGTGAAAGCGTCCAATAGCTGAATGTAAATTGCAATGTATGGAATTCCTAACGTTAGCATCAACTGCGTCAGCACTAAAAAGTGTCTACAATTATAGATAGAAAGAATCAAGGTATTAAGAAGTTTGCTATCGTTGTCATAGACAAAAATAACGTGAGATGCTGCACATACGTTTGTAACTCAGTGATATTGCAAAATGAAATAACAGAACTGTAGTGTAGAGTTACGAAATGGAAACATGATTACATTTCTTAATTAAACCGAAAGCATTGCCTTCTGAATAATCTCAAGTGTAAATGAACTACCTTGATTTAAACCTAGACTAGTCGAAACAAAATGGAAGCTAACGCAATTTCAAACCAGTTAAAACTACCATTAATTCACAGATCAGAATAACCTACAAAGAAATATCTTCGTTTGTTTTCTGATCAGTAAATCTAAAATGACAATTCGGTTGTTTATCCTCTGAAAAAAGGGACTTACACCAAGCGTCAATTTTCTACTTAATATAATAATTACAAATATATCATCATTTTTATCATTGCCAATTTACTAAATACTCAATTAAAAATTATCAAGTCAAACCTTGCTAACGATAGAAAAATCAAATAGTTTGGTAATTCTTGAAACCAATCACTGATAAAAACTGATTAAGCAGTTTCATGGAAGACGATTCATACTACATTTTTCTCTTTATTGATGTTGACTTTTCAGATGAAAGGTTTTGCGTAAATACTAAGAAAGCGTATACAATCTTTCATGAGTAGTAAGTTGCTTTAGTTTAGAAACTGGAATCGAAAGTAGATGCATAAAGCATACGTACGTTGTTTTATTTAGTTTACTTTTGCGAGTAACAAGATAATTTCTGAGAAGAACGAGACCAACTACAAACAAAATAACGAAGTTAAAAGTAACAACTGTTGTTATTGGACCAACAAAAGACCAACGGAGAGTTTTGGGACCAATGCAGCTAAAAGGATAAAAGTAAACAAAAAAATTGTATTAACAAAAAGCAATGTTTGTAACACTTGAATAAATGGGTCAGATAAAGGGCAGTCTAATCTATGTTCGCAAAATACGAGATAAATGATAACAGCAACTACTAGTCTCCAAAACGTCAAACAAAAAGAAATAGATCTGTGTTGTTTGAGCGATGGCAGATGCGTCCGAGTCTTGTTGGGAACACGAAACTGGTAAGCATGTACAACTAGGCGGGTTTTAATAATGTTGGATTTTACAATTAGGCATGGTAAAATTTAACTGGACCAGCAGTAAGATTTAAACAAAGACTTTATTTGATGAACGCGCACTGATAATTATCTAGACTCACGTAAAAGGTTTATCGTAGAAAACCTAAAAGATATGAGAGCAATAAAACTACAGGAATACCCACAACCGAGGATACAAAGATGCTAACTTACAGACCACTGTTACTAACTTCTCCTGTGTAGCCAAACCATGTACCAATAATAATTGCAGGACTCAAATAACCTATCCAAACTAATGGCAAACAATTTTTCGGTTTAGAAACAAGGTCATGGTATCGAGAATGTGGTGCAATGCTAGATCAATTTAAAAAAGGCAAGAAAGACTTTTATGACTACAACAGCAATGTACGAATAATCTAACTATTATTATAAAATAGAGAGTTGTACAACATGAATAAAATTGATGAAAATGTAGCAAATGCGGTTAACGGAGTAGATCCCTGCAGTTTCCAGGGCAAATTTTGATCTGAAGGATTCTTAGTGATGATGATATTATATACCGACCAACTATCCACTATTTTCTCACACTTTCAGAATCGTAGAGCATTGCGCCATATGAGAACTGAACAAATGACAAGCAGAGCGGAGAGTACCATTTGGATTTAAATATACCTAATTATGAAGAATGAGTGATAATATGGTTTTTTGTCGGGGTTGACTAATCTGAGCTAGATTTTTAGTAGCGAATTTTCCTTTCCATTCTGATGACCATAATCGTAACTGGTTATTCATTCAGTTTCATTTTCTTTAATTGTACTTCTGTTCAAGTTGACAGTTCTGTATCATTGAACTTCGACCAGGCTTTACTACTAATTATCATCAATTCAGGCGATGTGATGAATCAATCCTAAAGTAACGTTTTACATTTGGAGGTTGAGGACCCCATCCTAAACATACTTGCATTGTTGCTTAAGGTGGCCAGAAGACTGTGTTTTGTTAGTCTTCACCAAACATAACTACATCACCTGCGTAACTTTAGTCAACAAGTGAATCTCCTGGTAGAAGATCAATTGAAAAGTCAGACATTGGAAGTGTTATCTCTAAAAGCATGTATATGACAAAGTTAAGTAAAAATGGAGAAACATAACAACCCTGACAAGAGTCACTTGAAGTAACCGATTCCGATGACGGTTTGTCATAAGCTCTGACTCCACCAATATTGATCTAGTAGAGAGCATGTACAAGATTAATGTCCTTATCTGGTACGCCTTTTATTGACAGACCGTCCCACAGAATCTCACGATCAACTGAGTCGAATACCGCCTTAAGATTACTGTTGGATGTCCAACTAGATAATATGATATATACCACAATTGCGATTCCAGGACGAAGAGACGGCTGAAGAAAATGAAATCAATTCATTCTACTAATTATACAAATCAAAATTCAGAAGTTTAATGTATTTAAAACAAATTAGTCATTAGAAAAAGAATATTGAATTAAAAAACTCCCGATCGTATTATACTACGTAAATATTGCAGACACCTTTATGTATATGACAGTGTGTTAAAAACAAAGGCATTATTAAATCTTTATTATCTTTACCCGTTATTACGAAACCACAAAAACGAATGCCAAGAACTTATACTGTGATTTAAGTGCATTTTGATATTTATCATGCATAAAATGAGAGATTTGAGATACATGGAAATGTTGTATAAGAAGGGAGATAATCGTAACCTACATTAAAATTAATGTATTCAACCCAAATATAAATTTCCATGAAAAAGCAGCCAATGGAAAATAGCAAACAGCAACAGCGATGATAGTACACAAAATTGGTTGTCTGTCAGTTGTATGTGGAATCGCCAAAGAGACAATTGCGCTAACCATTAGGCAAAACGCTATGTTGAATTGATCCAACCGAAAAACTCCACTGAAAAGAAGTAAATTTTAACTGTCTCACTCTTCCAAGTGACGGTAGCACGGACATAGACTAAAATAAAATTTACTCAATGTTCGCCTACAGTTGTGGGCAGCTAATGCAAAAATGCAAAGGCATCGTAGATAAGTAACAGTAGTAACTAGGATCAGAAAGGAATCCCATCTGACTAATCTCGATTGCTGATCGTACCACTTTATTAGCAGAGACCAAAATTCTTTCTTGATAACCGTAGAGTAATCAGTTTGATCAATACCAGCCTGTATAACCGTGCGACGACTATCTGTCGTTTGAAAAAAACAAATCAAGGGATACCAAACTGGCATCAATGCAAAATGTTACTTCAGGGTTAGTTTGTATCAACGCCTGAACTGATGATAGTGAGTAAAGTAGTTGAGTGCGTCGATTACTTCACTTATTATGAAAGTTGAACCAAACCTGGTGGGTTGGTGTCTGAAAAAATCTCGACACATTTCAGACAGTTCGGTTAGCTTTTTCTAACTTGCATCATTTGTGACGCTAGCGAGATGTCTGTCCACCGACCTAAGGAACACTATACTCCTCAGTAGTTCGTTCTGTTCTACTTTATGTATATGAAACGTAGCCTTTGAAAATATAGAGGGGAATTCTCACGTCAATACTCATTGAACATAGATATCTTTGGAACATTGTACGCGTATGTTGGGATCATCTAGTGAGCAAAGCTGGGTTTAGACGCAGAGTACTGGATAGAGATGGCAAATTGGTTGATGCGGTTAAATATTTCACAGACTTATAGGTTTTAGGGAGGTTCCAAAAATCTATTGAACTACACTGGCTTTTGAGGTTCAAGAAAACCTAGTCTTACAAAAATATAATACGGGGTGATTTTACTGTAAGAGGATAGTAGGCAGGAGGAAGGTATGTTAATTGTGAGAATTTACAAAGTGATATGGAAACCCAGTTAGAAGTACCATTGTGAAAAGGTCAATCGATGGCAATCAGAAGTGACTTAATTATATTGTCCATTTGCATCTTTTGGTGCGTTCTTTCATTCGAACTGCCTTTCATCTGCTCTTCAAGTGTTCTGTTAACGCTGCACTTTCGATGTTCTGGAATTCTTCATTTCATTTGACAATTGTTGCATATTGGATGCCATATATCGCTATATACTACTTATAAACACTTTTGTGAGTAACGTCCACTACACTATCACTATAGTGCTATCCAGTAATCGTTTACCTTAACAAACTTTTCAATACGTCAAATATCATCTTGTAATAGATTATGAGTAAGATGATTCGAGACGTCATATCATTTGATTAAATTAAAGTATGAACAAAATTCTTGGTACTTTTTGGCTATCGGGGTTACGATGAAATTCGTTAAAATAATATTAATTTTTTACCGAGGCACTGTAGTCACCAAAAATATTCAGACTATTTTTGAAATGTAAACAAAAAATACTGAGAAAAATCGCATGCACAACAGAATACTAACTTACATGAAACGGGTGAATATTAAAAACAGGAATAAAGCGACAATAGTTACGAAAGTAAAAATATAATTAACAATACTTATGGAGTACACATGTGTCAATGGAATCTGAAAAATACAAAAAAAGTATTAATTGGAGCGATTATTCAAAATAAAAATATTTCAAGATATTAAAAGACATTTAGTTTGATAATAGAAAACCTGAACTGGAGTTAAACGGTTTCCCCTAAATTAAAAATTACAGCGATATTGCGCACTTTTCATAAACCAGTTAGAAATGTAAACGGATAATTATGAATCAAGCTACTGAAAACCAAAAACTAATCCCCAGTAATCATCTGAAACTGTTAATTCATTGTATACACATAACTTACATGTGACGATCCTAACCAGTAAACCAAAGCGATCGCGAATGTTCCACCCTGAGCTGGAAGACATTGGCATTCAAAATCAGAACCGACAACAATTGTTTTGCAATTTCCATCATTCCACAGTTGTTTAAACTCGCTAGTTGAAAGAAGAGTAGGGTAATAACTAGGTGTGAGATTTAAAACAATTATTATTATTCATTAACCTGTAGTATAATTAACAGAACTGACTCACATACTAGATCCGTTACGATGACGTCACAACGATGAACAGGAAAAACCACAAACATCAAAAATAAGTGTATGAGGCCACAAAAGCAGGACATGAAATTGTAGCAGTAACAAACTGCAATAAGTTAGTAGTTTATTGGCAAAAGTGAAAGATAACGGTAGGCAGTCTAGCAAAAATATCCTAATTAAATGCATGGCCACATGATTACAACAAAGTAATCAGTTGGAAAATAAGAATAACGAATACTACTATTTTAAAAAGACAATAGTTACACGGATTTTGGGTAGTGTATGCTTATACATTTAATCATACATTATAACATATTACTATATAAAATGGTTCAAATAATGAAGTGGCCTATATTTCTGTATTTGAAATTACCATTAATAGCATACGACAAATTATTAAAATTTTAAGTCATCATATTGAAGTAATAATGCAAAAAAAAGAACGTCGTTAACGGTTTTAAACAACGGTTTGAGTGGCAGAAGTCAAACAGAGTCAGCCAGTCAGCTACAACGTAGAATCAGACACACACATGCATCGGTTCAAGTTGCCACACCTCATTAGCACAACGAGATGAACACCGAATTCACAGAAGTAGTTAATTCAATGGTGGTGATACATAAAATAAAGATTGCATATAAGGATATAATACATAAAGAAAGAATTAGGTAGTATAAAGGAAGATATAAAGCGATCGTAATCTCATAGTTTAAGGGAAGACAGAGAGTGTACACTTCTACGTCACTGTGATCGATTCTGAGTCATGTCACCCAGAGTCTCCAATCATTCGTTACGATAGTCACACGAACTTCAACCAAGTAGTCTGCATCTACCACTATGGCTAAGACTAGAAGCTAGTAACTTAAAGTACTGATGCCACGTTTTGGTTTGGCCGCCCCTAATTTTCTTAAAACCATCCCCAACACTAGTCAGTATTGCGCGCCGTGATTATCGGTGACCCAACCATCGCAGTTGGTGAAGATTTACCATCATTCCCTAATACCCTGAGTCTAACCTCACTGTTACTTACCCGATGATCCCATAACCGTAAAGATGTGAGAAATATTTATAAGGCATCTGTGGTCAAATACTAGTAGCTTACGAGTATCTTCTACTCTTAATGGCCACGTTTCGCAGCCGTAAAATAGAACAGAACGAACTGACGCGCAGTATACTCGTCCCCTAATTGATAGACGGATATCTCACCTTCGCCAAACTACATACATGAACGCAACCCAAACATTCTGGCATTGTTGCTTAGTGCTACCAAAAGACTTTGCATTTTATCAGCATCGTCACCAAACAGAACTATATCATTTGCGTATTCTAAGTCGATAAGTGGACCTCCTGGTAGGAGATCAGTGCCCGAAAATCCAGTCGACGAGAAAGTTATTTCCATCAGTATGTTTATGATGAAGTTGAACAAAAATGGAAATAGTGGACAGCCTTGAAGGACACCACTTGAGGTTGCAAAAGTAGATGACAGTTCGCCATAAGCTCTCACTCGATTAGTAGTGTTCGAGTAAAGAGCCTTCACAAGGTTTATGTACTTCTGGGGCACGCCTTTCAATGACAGACACTGCCACAGAATCTCGCGGTCTACGGAGTCAGATGATGCTTTTAGGTCAAGAAAGACCACCATTGTCGGACGCCGATAAGCATGTCTGTGTTCTAGAACCTGACGAATGGTGAATCTGTGGTCGATGCAGCCACGACCAGGTCTGAAGTCAGGCTGATTTTCTCATGTTTGCAGTTCACGAGTCTTAGTTAGGCGTCCGATAATTATTGAGGCTAGTATTTGAGATGCTATATTAGTTAAACCAATCCCTCTATTGTTATCAGAGGATGATTTTGACCCTTTCTTATATATTGTGACGATAAGTGATTGTGACTAGTCATATGGGATAACGTCTAACTCCCAGATTTTAGCTAAAATATTAGTCAACCTAATAGCTAAAATCGGACCACCATCCTTAAAGACCTCTGCAGCCAATCCATCTGGACCAGCTGCTGTTCCTTGTTTCAGATTAACTATAGCCTTTTGAACTTCAGCAACAGTTGGGGGACCTACTTCAATGTTCCATTCACACTGTCTGGGAACAAAGGGTAGTTGTAGAGTAGCTGAAGGCCAGCTGAACTGTTCTCTAAAATGTTCTGTCCACCGTTCTAAACGTCTGGACTGGGAGCAGATGAGAGTATCGTCTTTTTCCGATATAATCTCACTTACACTTGACTTACTAGTTCCAGTTTCTTCTATTAGTCTGTAGAGCTGTCTTGTGTTCCCTATAGCCGCCGCCTTTTCCATCTCTTTTGCTTTCGTTGCCCACCACTGCTCTCGGTCGTTCCTCAGACTTTTGGTTAACCTAGATCTGATTTGTTTTCGATCTTCATCGTGTTCAGAGCCTGATGGGATGGGTTCACGAGAATCCATTAGTGTATTAGACCTTGAAGAAATCCATTGGCTCTTCGTGACCCTGTGGTTTATATCACTAATAGACGTCACTTCTGTTTCCACAGCTGCTTGCATATCCTTCCAAGCAACATCTGGGTCAGCCTCGTTTGCAGAACTACCTAAGTGTGACCTCAGTTGTTCTTGGAACCTACCCAAGGGACAGCTGCTTGAGGTCGGTCACACACGACCTTTACATGAGTAGTAGTAGTTTTTAATTCAAACAAAAAGCAGAGATTATTGAAAAAAGATAATTACTCAGGATGGAAATGGATAGACAAATAAATCAAAAGTATGGAATAAGTGGATTATGGTCGTAGTTAAGATAAAGAACACAAAAATAAAAAAGTGTAACGTTTCTAAATCATTTTAATGAATCATTCGTGTAGCGATAAAAATAAACTGAGATGATTAGGGGTTGAAGAATCTAGAATAAATGAAACACTACAAAACAACAAAACATGATATAATCAGTAGCAAGACTAGACTTACGGATTCTGTTTTAGTTGTTCACATGATACAGTGATATTCGGTTTCTAAAAGAAAAATTAATAAGGATTCTAATCAATAAAGGTGAAAACTGTAAAATAAAGTACTTGAAAAAATGAAGGAATCCAAAATGATGCAAGAAATCGTTAAACACTGAATTCATCTAGTGTGAATTGTAAGTACCGAGGAATTATATTGTCATGATGATTTAAACAAAATCAGATTTTGACAGATAAGCGCCCCAAAATGCCCAAGTATGGTCGAGGGTGGGGTGAGTCAGCTCTCACTCTCGAAATGTTACCATATGGCCAAGCGTATACAGACACTGACAATGAAGACCTACTCATCGCCTTCCCACGACAGGGGTGTTGTTTATGCTAGGTTTGAAGCGATTTCGAGTTCACTTAGTCTGCCAATGGAACAAAGACGTGTGACCAAAAACCAATAAACTAGCTATTCTGCTGCGTCCCAGCCCCGCTATCTAGAGAGAAAAGTCGAAGTCCGAACGCGGAACTATATTCCGCAAAAAGCCAGAAGCACGAGCGATAACAACAGACACAAATCAAACATACATATACAGCATAAAACTGTCCTTGGGAAACGTTACAAAATAGCATTTTAAAATACACGACGGACCAATAAGCGTTAAAGATTCTCCCAAGTATGAAATACGACATAAAAACATAAAGATCTCTTTTGGCGCGAAAATAAGAAAAATTTAAAATTTAAAAATAAAATTACAAAATTAAAGCATTTACTAAGTGAGTTCTAGGGATCTAACATCCACAACAGTTTACGAAATTGAGAGGGTGAAAAGCAAATGTCCGGTGCTTTAACCGGGCTGGTAGAAACAGAGGGTCTACCAAGGTGAGTTGGAAAACCCTAATTCCAAACCCATGGCGCACATGGGCTCCAAAATCCTGAGGGAATAAATGGCGTATGATCCTATTGTTGGTCACCGGCTACCATGGAACTGCATCTCCTGACGTTGCTTCATTGCAATGTGGACTAGACCATCAAGTGAAAGGTTTAGGGGGCAGTACCCTGAGGAAATCACCTGCTTCGGTTTGGGCACCTGTGTAGTATCACAGCCCTCGCACAAACGAATGATAACTTCTACTGACCTCTTTGTTAATCTGTGGGGCATATTACGTTTATATCTGACAGAAGAAATTATATAGACATGCCATGATAGTTGTACAATTCAAATTCAGAATTCCTATTCATCCTAAAGAGCACTCATTACAAAACCGACAAACTCATATGTGATTCAACACAGTCAAACAGAATAACTATCCTAATCCATAGAAAATGAGTCTATTTAATGACCACAAAGAAATGTTGATAATGTTACGAATAATGAAAGCAGTCATCTTATGGTGCAATGCTAAAATTTGATAATATTTTCTGCATGAAAAGAAATTGTGAGAGTTTTGAAAAATGAAATTCAAAAGAACCTATTTTGTAGGTTACTCAATGAGTTGCATAAACTACAAATTTCTTATCACTATGCAGTAGACAACGACACTATTAAACCGCTAAGTTAAACGACAACCCTTTTTTAGAATCAATCACAAATATTGGACAAAAAATTGTTTTGAAAATGCTATCTCTCAAGAAAAACATTAAAGTCCTAGTACCAATTAAAACTTTAAACGCAGGCTACTATTCAGCTAAGCGTAAGCAATCCATAATCTACAAAAGCCAATAATTAATAAATATAAAAATTGGATTAAAAAAATAGATAATAAATGCTAGGACGATTATACATTATCACCTGAGATAAATCCACAGAAAGAGTGAATGATAGACCGTTGTTGGTGTCGACCAATACAACATCTGAGTCTAAGGAAGGTGTTGTCACTTTTTTGATATTGTCTAGCTGTGTCAGAAGAACTCCTGGAAAGTTGGCAGCTGGGATTACGGCGATGAATGTATCATGCATTTCTGTAAATAAAACACCACCAGAAAACAATGATAAGTGGACAGTGTTTAGAATTCCATGTTAATGAAAGAGATGGAATGTCACTATTATATAGAAGATTGACCAAACTCCGCCTGGAGTCCCTTCGGTGGCTACTGCCGGTCCCAAGCCTGGATAAAGGAGGAGGGTTGGGCATAGGGTTAGCGTCCCCATCCCGTAGAAAACTAACTCGCTAAAAAACGCTAACCAGAAAAAATTATTCAAACCTTTCAAACTCTGCCCCGGGAGTCAGAAGGTCTTCATTCAGAAGAAATATGACACCTCATGATGAAAGCCAAGTTCCTACGGAAGTCACGAGGCCGATGCCCCTTCTGACAACCAGAGCGACCATTTATTTGGGTACATGGAATGTTCCTACAATGTGGGACACCGGGAGAGCCTTCCAAATTGCTACAGAAATGAGAAGATACAACCTAGAGGTACTTGGGATCAGTGAAACACATTGGACACGAGTTGGACAACAACGACTAACTACAGGAGAGCTCCTGTTATACTCCGGCCATGAAGAAAAAATGCGCCGCATACACAAGGAGTTGCATTGATGCTGTCCAAACAAGCGCAAAATGCGCTTATAGGATGGGAATCTCATGGACTAAGGATCATCAAAGCCTCGTTCAAAACAAAGAAAGAGGGTATTTCAATGAACATCATACAATGCTATGCGCCTACCAACGACTACAATGAAGACTCTAAAGATCAATTCTACAATAGGCTGCAGTCAATAGTCGAGAAGTGCCCAACAAAGGACCTGACCATTCTGATGGGAGATTTCAACGCCAAGGTTGGAACGGACAACACTGGATATGAAGACATCATGGGACGACACGGACTGGGAGAAAGAAACGAAAATGGTGAGAGATTTGCAAATCTATGTGCCTTCAATAAGCTGGTCATAGGCGGCACCATATTCCCACATAAACGCATACACAAAACCACATGGACTTCACCGGATCACTCTACACAAAACCAAATCGACCATATTTGCATCAACAAAACGTTCAGGAGGACTATAGAGGACGTGAGAACCAAGAGAGGAGCTGATATAGCATCAGATCATCACTTGCTGGTCGCCAAGATGAAATTGAAACTCAAGAAGCACTGGACAACGGGGCGGACAATATCACAAAAGTTCAATACGGCCTTTCTTCAGGATACTAACAAACTTAACAAATTCAAGATAGTCCTCAGCAACAAGTTCCAGGCCTTTTATGATCTACTCAACGGAGAAGGAACTACTGTGGAGAGCAACTGGAAGGGGATCAAAGAGGCAATCACTTCAACATGTCATGAGGTCCTGGGTCACATGTGTGATAACTACAGGGGCATCACTCTTCTCTCAGTACCGGTAAAAGTCTTCAACAGGGTATTGTTAAACAGGATGAAGGACTCTGTAGACGCCCAACTTCGTGACCAACAGGCAGGTTTCCGTAATGATAGATCGTGTACAGATCAAATCGCAACTCTACGGATCATTGTGGAACAATCAACTGAATGGAATTCATCATTCTACATCAACTTCATTGACTACGAAAAGGCATTTGATAGCGTGGACAGAACAACACTATGGAAACTTCTTCGACACTACGGCGTGCCTCAGAAGATAGTCAATATCATACAAAACTCATATGATGGATTACACTGCAAAATCGTGCATGGAGGACAGTTGAAAAAGTCGTTCGAAATGAAGACCAGAGTCAAGCAAGGTTGCTTACTTTCACCCTTTCTCTTTCTCCTGGTGATCGACTGGATCATGAAGACGTCAACATCTGGGGGAAGCTTGTGATACAATGGATATCTAGGATGCAGCTGGACGATCTAGACTTCACAGATGACCTGGCTGCTCTATCGCACACGCAACAACAAATGCAAGAAAAGACGAACAGTGTGGCAGCAGCCTCAGCAGCAGTAGGTCTCAATATACACAAAGAGAAAAGCAAGATTCTCCGATACAACACAGCATGCACCAATTCAGTCACACTTGACGGAGAAGATTTGGAAGATGTAAAAATCTTTACATATTTGGGTAGCATCATTGATGAACATGGTGGATCTGGTGCAGATGTGAAAGTGCGGATCGGTAAAGCAAGAGCAGCATATTTACATCTGAAAAACATCTGGAACTCAAAGCAACTGTCAACCAACACCAAGGTCAGGATTTTCAATACAAATGTCAAGACAGTTATACTGTATGGGGCAGAAACCTGGAGAACTACGAAAGCCATCATCCAGAAGATCCAGGTGTTTGTTAATAATTGTCTACGCAAAAATACTTCAGATCCATTGGCCGGACACTATTAGCAGCAACGTACTGTGGGAGAGAAGCCAGATCCCAGCGGAGGAAGAAATCAGGAAGAAGCGTTGGAAGTGGATAGGACACACATTGAGGAAAGCACCCAACTGCGTCCCAAGACAAGCCCTCACACGGAATCCTCATGTACGGAGGAGAAGAGGGAGACCAAAGAACACATTACGCCGAGAAATGGAGACAGAAATGAGAAAAATGAACAAAAATTGGATAGAACTTGAAAGGGAGGTCGAGGACAGAATGGGTTGGAGAATGCTGGTCGGCGGCCTATGTCCCTTTGGGAATAACAGGTGTAAGTAAGTAATGTATCATGTATATCATGAATGATTAAAAAAACATGCGAAAAAGTACTCTAGATAACCAGTAAAACTTCCACACTCTTGGCCCTAATTTTCAGGTAAAACAATGAAATAAATGACCATATTGAGAAATACTGATTCAGAAAAAATAGTGAACACTTTTTAGATCAGTAAATTAGACTCGTGAGGGCAAATCACTCGTTGACCGACTTAAAATGTCGACATAAAACCTTATATTAACTTGAAACTACCCGAAAAAAATAAACATTGGCTGGACTGGGCATCTCGCTGGGTAACGCATTCACGTTTAAAGCAACAGGTACCGAATTTGAGTCTCAATGTGAACATCGACACCGAGATTCAGGTACCTCCAGATGGTAAGTTTCACACGGGAAAGAAACGGGGGTGCTGTATTCTACTACTACCCACAATCTATTTATTCTATAAAACTTGTGACAAATGGCTTTACGGGCGGAATTCTCAAGGCATAAATATTTCAATGAATAATCGTGAATATCAACAATAATCTACACAGTTTCAATTAGTAACTTATAAATCCTGAGTACTTATAATAAGTACTATATTAGTCCATTGGAATAAAAAGTTTTAATTTTATTAGTAGAATATATCAAGGTACATGCTATGCATTAAATCGTGTAGCAAGCAAGAATTTCTGGTTTATAAAACAGAAAAATATAGACCGTACGCTAAGTGGTTGAAGGTTATGATCTTAAAGAACAACAAGATTCAACTGTTACGTAGAAAAGAACGGCATGAAAGTAAGTTATTCTTAACTCGTAAATATAGTCACAAAAAGTTAGAATGGTTAAAGTGATTTCTATGATCTATGATCTAACCTGATTGCTTTGGTTTAATGGAAAACTTGATCACCTTCCCTTGCGAACTATTCATTGTTATATTGCCTGTATCTGAAGATAAATGCTTAAAAAATAATACACAAATAACATAATTTAAGACTGCGAACTCTCAGGATAAAAAAAGCACGAAATCCAACATTCACACCATCAAAACAGAAATCCTGATTCAAGTGTAAATAGAATGATCGTAAGTTCTAACACAGCCTTAGTAATATACTGTAAAGTTGAATGCGTATCAACGAAAAATAAACAACATATAAACAAATAACAAGTGAACCCAACTGACGAGACACTTGGGTAGGTTTTATAAATAAAGGAAATACTTCACTCACCTAACAGAATTATGCAGTGACTTAAATCTATGAATAAAATTGGACTAAAATCAGATGAAATCAAAGTTTCAGGGAAAATAAGAAAATCGATTATCTAAAATTGCTTTATTCCTTGTAAATGTATAAGATTACTAATAACATCAAACTGTAACTTCAGCATACTGAAATTAGTTCAACTTAATGCTAACTAATCGACTGGCAGTCAGAAATGTTTTATAACTGCAGATCAACCTACAGTACATAATAAAGCTAAATTTCGCAGCAAGACAAAACTTTATCAACAAGCTTGTGAAGATTATTTAATTTAAACAGTTTTTAATACACCGTAACATCAGAACTGATGATAATTGAACATTTGTTTCGTTCCACCATGACACTTTTCGGTGAAACCCAATTAGAACACTAGCGTGGATCTAATACATGACTCTCGCATTTCACCGCAAGTACGAGACAAAGAAAAAAGTGAGTCACGATCAAATGCAGAACACCGCCTGGGGTATCGCTCCCGCTACATGACCTGAAATTTCTACACTTGATCTCTGACGGGGTTCTGTTTAGGTTATGATGAGGAGTCGCATATAAAGACTGGACAGCTACACAGGGCTGTTTGATTTATATTGGTTCTTTCGTCAGTTTTAGCTTGAGATGAATATTAATTGCAAAAAATTGATTAATCAAGATTTAAAGTATGTATTGAAGATATTCTACTCAATTTTTAATGAAGATTTTATTTACGTTCGTTAACGTCAAAAGCGTATTCAAAGTTAGACGCCTAGCCTGTTCAGTCAAAAGTGCTCAAATGTATAGATTTCGGATTGTAACACAACGGTTTCCCATCAATTTTGTATTCAGTGGCGACTAAAGCGTGTATTCTCTTACAAATTAATTGAAACTTGATCTAAGATACAGCACATTTAGCTGAATATCATTTGATGCTTTCCACCTAAAGGAACAAGACTCGCTGTCTATAAATCTATTTTAACCAATTGGGATATACAAGCCTGTTTATACAATTTAATTTTACACTATCCCTGACAACTGCAGACATGGTTACATGATGTTAGTAAAAATGAACCGTAACACTCGGCTTAAGATGAGCCAAACTAGTAGATAACTTTAACTTGAAATATGATTATATAAACAAACTTCTAATGACACACTTATACCGTAAATAGTAAAAAGTGTCCATGAAAAAGCAATCAGTTTAGGGTTTTCATCATGAACGTTTCTTAACTGTGTGATTCCCAATGTACGAGTAAACACTACAACGATGAGAATCGTAAATGTTAAGTCAATGTACGCTAATGGCCAAACTGATCATTCATAAAACTGTACAGTATTCTTTTACAAATTCCCACCATCAAATGATAAGACGGCCAACCAGATCGGAAACACTTACCCAAAACCGTAAACTCTTTTCAGTTTCTTTGCCGGATCTTAATAAATCGATAACAGAGGGGGTTTGGCGGGCGATCTCCGCGATTAAATGGAGAAATACGGAGACTGTTTGCAGTTTTTTGGAAGCTGAAGCCGACAGAAATTCTGAATTCGCAGTGGAGTTTGTAGATCGATTATAACCGGATGCAACAATGGTTGGAGACATATCTAATGCAAACCTCATGCTGTCAAGTAACTGACTGGCAATTGAACGACGTTCAGAACTGAAATAAATTTAAAGAATTTAGGAGTAAAAATGAACTAGGTTTAGACTCAGGAAATCTTATTAGAAAACTTTGCAATCTGATACAAATACACTGAGTGAACGCTAGTTATTACTCTACCCTCCTTCAACTAGCGAGTTTAAACAACTGTGGAATGATGGAAATTGCAAAACAATTGTTGTCGGTTCTGATTTTGAATGCCAATGTCTTCCAGCTCAGGGTGGAACATTCGCGATCGCTTTGGTTTACTGGTTAGGATCGTCACATGTAAGTTATGTGTATACAATGAATTAACAGTTTCAGATGATTACTGGGGATTAGTTTTTGGTTTTCAGTAGCTTGATTCATAATTATCCGTTTACATTTCTAACTGGTTTATGAAAAGTGCGCAATATCGCTGTAATTTTTAATTTAGGGGAAACCGTTTAACTCCAGTTCAGGTTTTCTATTATCAAACTAAATGTCTTTTAATATCTTGAAATATTTTTATTTTGAATAATCGCTCCAATTAATACTTTTTTTGTATTTTTCAGATTCCATTGACACATGTGTACTCCATAAGTATTGTTAATTATATTTTTACTTTCGTAACTATTGTCGCTTTATTCCTGTTTTTAATATTCACCCGTTTCATGTAAGTTAGTATTCTGTTGTGCATGCGATTTTTCTCAGTATTTTTTGTTTACATTTCAAAAATAGTCTGAATATTTTTGGTGACTACAGTGCCTCGGTAAAAAATTAATATTATTTTAACGAATTTCATCGTAACCCCGATAGCCAAAAAGTACCAAGAATTTTGTTCATACTTTAATTTAATCAAATGATATGACGTCTCGAATCATCTTACTCATAATCTATTACAAGATGATATTTGACGTATTGAAAAGTTTGTTAAGGTAAACGATTACTGGATAGCACTATAGTGATAGTGTAGTGGACGTTACTCACAAAAGTGTTTATAAGTAGTATATAGCGATATATGGCATCCAATATGCAACAATTGTCAAATGAAATGAAGAATTCCAGAACATCGAAAGTGCAGCGTTAACAGAACACTTGAAGAGCAGATGAAAGGCAGTTCGAATGAAAGAACGCACCAAAAGATGCAAATGGACAATATAATTAAGTCACTTCTGATTGCCATCGATTGACCTTTTCACAATGGTACTTCTAACTGGGTTTCCATATCACTTTGTAAATTCTCACAATTAACATACCTTCCTCCTGCCTACTATCCTCTTACAGTAAAATCACCCCGTATTATATTTTTGTAAGACTAGGTTTTCTTGAACCTCAAAAGCCAGTGTAGTTCAATAGATTTTTGGAACCTCCCTAAAACCTATAAGTCTGTGAAATATTTAACCGCATCAACCAATTTGCCATCTCTATCCAGTACTCTGCGTCTAAACCCAGCTTTGCTCACTAGATGATCCCAACATACGCGTACAATGTTCCAAAGATATCTATGTTCAATGAGTATTGACGTGAGAATTCCCCTCTATATTTTCAAAGGCTACGTTTCATATACATAAAGTAGAACAGAACGAACTACTGAGGAGTATAGTGTTCCTTAGGTCGGTGGACAGACATCTCGCTAGCGTCACAAATGATGCAAGTTAGAAAAAGCTAACCGAACTGTCTGAAATGTGTCGAGATTTTTTCAGACACCAACCCACCAGGTTTGGTTCAACTTTCATAATAAGTGAAGTAATCGACGCACTCAACTACTTTACTCACTATCATCAGTTCAGGCGTTGATACAAACTAACCCTGAAGTAACATTTTGCATTGATGCCAGTTTGGTATCCCTTGATTTGTTTTTTTCAAACGACAGATAGTCGTCGCACGGTTATACAGGCTGGTATTGATCAAACTGATTACTCTACGGTTATCAAGAAAGAATTTTGGTCTCTGCTAATAAAGTGGTACGATCAGCAATCGAGATTAGTCAGATGGGATTCCTTTCTGATCCTAGTTACTACTGTTACTTATCTACGATGCCTTTGCATTTTTGCATTAGCTGCCCACAACTGTAGGCGAACATTGAGTAAATTTTATTTTAGTCTATGTCCGTGCTACCGTCACTTGGAAGAGTGAGACAGTTAAAATTTATTTTTTAATAACACAGTTCATAAACACCTTAAAACATGCTTGTGACTTACACACTGTTGCGAGCAAGCTGTTGTCTGATCTCATCGTCAGTGAATTTAGAAGTGAAATTCAAAATATAATCTGGATTTATGCGATACAGAGTTTTGGCGTTGTAGGAAACACTATGCAGAGTCCGTCCGTAATCCTAAATGAAAAGAGTCATTTGAATAATAACTGAATTGGAAAGGAACATGAGTAGTGGAAATAACCGACATGTGGATAAGAAGTGGGGTTAAAACTCATACTCAATTGATACAATCTTAAAAATTTGCCATTAAGTACAACAGTGTAAAACATATAACGATTTAAAAATTGACGGTCAGTAAAATTCAAACTTTTACAAACATTATTTTAGAATACGAAATCGATGTTTTATATCAAGCCGAATAGGCAGCTTCTACGAAACAAATGAATTCATATTTCATTGACCATAATAATCTTAAAGATAGAGTTTTATCTTATACGAGTCTGCTCGCTGGACAGGTAAAATATTGGTAACTTGTTTGTGATGCTACACCCCCAGAAATCACTTGGTAAACGTCTCATTTATATAATTTTATTATTTATTTCAATACGCTATTTCGTGACATTTTCCCGAGGACATTTTTGTACTGTCAGAAAATCTCATTTTTCTATTATTGTGCTGTATATATACTCATGAGTTGTGCTTTTCCGTTCATGTTTCCGGACTGCTTGTGGAATATATATTTTTCTCGGCTGGATCTGGTTTTCTTCATCTCGTTAGCAGGGCTGAGGAGCAGTGGAATAACTAATCTAGCCCTGAAGTTATGTTGCTGACTTTCATTACGTTCGCCGGTCTTAGGTGATATTGTGATCTCGCCAAAACGCATAAGTGGCGAAGAGGCTGATGCAAGTATGGATCCTACAAAAGTGGAATGATTGATGGAGCAGCATTTTATACTTATCCAGATGTTGACAGATAGGAAAATTACGCCTACTCCTCAACCTAGCACATCTATTTCCACCACTGCATTGTCAACTAACAGCACCACCAAAAGTATAACCGAATTTCACTACGATCGCGATGCTAATGTTACTTTTGACATGTGGTTCCGGCTTGATAAGGATCTATTTAAATTTGACTTTACATCTGAACCCACACGTCCGCTCATTTACTGACACTGTCCAATTATTAAGCCAACAGTTTGGAGATAACTCCTCACTACCCAATGCATGTTATCGATGTTTGAAGCTGATTATGAACGAAGATGCTGACCTTTTTTATCATGTGGGCAAAGCGAACGCTTTCTGATGAAGTCGTTGACTGAACATCAGTTGAAAGCCCTCATCCTCATCCGCAGTCTTCAATTGCAAAAGTTTAGTTACATTAGAACGCCATTACTATGTAGGTTGTACAAGCCTGTCCGTTTAAAAAACATCGTTGTAGGAAATGAAAATCTATTGGTCACAAAGATGGATTCTGTCAAAGGAGGAAAACGATCGACCACCACATCTTTCCAGAAGCATTAGAAAGCCTGGTTCCAAATCGTGTACAGATTCGTCGAGCCTATTAACGTCCTATCACAAACCAGGGGAGAGGAAATCCATTACTCTTGATATTACTGGGCATTCTCATCTATATTGCAAATAGGTACAGCATCAGACATAACCATTATCTCGTGGAAATTTTCTCCCGTTGTTGTGTCGCTGACTTCTGTTCTATTCGCCGGTCCTAGGTGATATCGTAATCTCTTCAAACGTAGCATGACTACGAATTTCAGATGAAATAAGATGGATGTATTTGAACAAGTCATTGAATGTTTCACAAATGTGTTCGTGTACCGAGTGTTGAAACCTGCAACCCAGTCTACAATACAGCCAATTGTAAGGCTAAATTTTAATAGAATGAAGGCTTCAATTGTTCTTAATTCAATCAGCTATTCAAACTGTTTATGCCATTACGGCTATCATATCTCTAAATGATAATGAAAACGGAAAAATCGGGAAAAAGTTGTCGATTTCATATGAAGTAATTCTCAATACGACATTAGTGTCAGAAAATTATGACTCGATGGCTTATTTGCACAGGCATTAGGGTTAGAAAACCCTTAAGTCAAAAACTGGCTGTAATTTTCTGTTATACATCGATAACTTTGTCTGCGTCAAGAAATTTGTAGCCAGTGAGTCTTTTTTATAAAGGAGTAAGTGAGTAAAGTCATATGCTAAATGAAAGAACGCCAACACTTGTTAATTTAATTTTTCTTTATTTAAGAACCATGCTGATACTGAAAACAAACTCACGGCTATTTCAGGGGAATTTCCGGAGACATGTGGACAAGACCAATTTAAATCTGAAAAATAGTGGGGGAAAATGAGAACGCTAGAGCCTCAACTGTAACTAAAATAAACTACAATATTTAGTGGTTACTTTGTAGATATAACACAGAATAAAAATTGTGAACAGCTATTAATGAAGCGGTATAAATGAATGTTTTGTACAGATATTTGATACTAGCAGAGAATAAAATTAACGAAGAGTGGAAACGATACTGCACTCATTTTATTTTATTTTTATGAAAGCCCAATTGGTCACGTAAGAGATTAGTAAATATGTGAATAATTAGTGTTCTCTACATTGATATTTTCATAACATAATTTCTTTAATGAACAAGTAGCTTCAGCTTATTAACCTTGAGTAAAATAGAAGAGACTACAAAGAGATCGTGTTAAACCATTCGAAACTAGAGGTGATTAAAATAAAAATTCACAAAATATAAGTATAGTTTTAACATTTTAGCATTTTATCTACTCATAGTACATGAATTATGGTAAAATGAACGCCAAAAATAGTGCCACACAAATAAAGGGATAATAATGTGAAGAGATAAGAGAAAAGTATAGTAGAACCAATAAATAAGTGGACAAGAATACTACTTATAAAGAGTTAAAGTCGAGTTAAAATATATTTTCAAGAAAGATTTTTTTTAGTTTAGAGGGTGCACCTTACTTTGACAAAAAATGTGATGAAAAGCAATACACTAATCACTATTAGATTCAACTTTGAGCCATATTTAACAACACTATAAGCCACGTGCTTCGGAGCACTCAGGTTTCATAGACAAAGCGAAACTGTGTTGCAAGCTTCCCAGTTAGACTGGTATCCTGACGGCATGAAAAGTAGCCTAGGTTGATCGGAGTGATGAAAGAAATTTAGATAGACACTCGAAATTCATCAAACGAATGAGTGCGTGATTTATCTATGGTGATGACGTTTATCTTCGTTTGATATTATTTCTATGTTACGAGAATTCCAACCCTTGAATGTTTTATTTAAGCAAAATTTGTTGGAAAATACCTTTCGGATGGGAATCGGGAAGTTTTCTGTCCCAAACTAGCCCAGATGGTTTGAGACTATAGTATCATAGAACAGTGAAATAGAGAAGTCTTTCTTCCTATGAAATTTGAGCGAATATGTATGTAATACTAATAGCTTTGTGTATATAACCTCGGAAAATAGAAGGATGCATATTTGTTTTATATTCCCTTTAAATTTTATCTTGTAGAAATGATATTTGATAAAAAGCTGAAACAGCGACGAAACTTACCTTTAGCCAAATACTCACAGGAATCTATTAGTGGAACTCCTTTCTTACACCGATAAGAGTTATTCACTACGTAGCAATCATGGATCCCGGCATCACACAGCATGTAGCCTTGATTAGCAGCCTCAATGCACATATCTAACCCACACATTTTTTCACCCATGAACCGATAAGAGACCTGGAAAATATATGAACACTGAAATCACTAAGTCAGTTTTATTTTCTTAAACAAAATTTACTTCTGATAATCTAAAGTAGAATATCTTGGCTACCTGTACATTTCAACAAGTTATCTGTTTTCTTGTTTGTTTTAACACATCATTATGCCCATTAGTCGCATAACCGATTCAGGAGCGTTTGCGACAAGTTTACTACATTTCACCGTACAAGTTACAAAAGAGCCCAATCAGAAACATCGTGACTGCTGGCAATATGCATCGAAAAAATTGTATGTTATTCAAATGTCGATTCCCGAACTGCTAACACCCAACTGGCGACCACTCAATATTTGTCTCAAGGATCGATCAAGAAATAAGAAAAAAACTTGTTGAAATACTTTATGCTGAGAATTCTATATTGTACCAGAAATATAATATTGAACAAAGCCAATAATAATAATTATAACCCAGTAAGATCTGTCATTCTTCCACGTTTCAAGATAGTGACACTCTACATTTATTTGCGTGCGAGTAAAAGATTTGTTATAAGTGTTACGCACAAAATGCGTCTGTAAAATTAGAATCTGGGAACTAACTGTAAGTCACTTAGACTGTATTACGAAGCACTTCCCGTCGTCTTAACTATATTTTCACAAGCCTTAGCTGCAGTCTAACAATAGTGTAATAGACAATGAGGTGGAGATTGCTGACAAAAACATTTTGCGCTAAGGACTGTGACTTTTGAGCCATACATTGTGCATAAGGTTAGTGCTTACCCAAAAATATGAATTCCAGAAGAAAGCCGAAACATCATGAAATGATTATCGGCTCTTATAGTCTAAAAAACGAAATTACTAAATACTTATATTTCTGTCTAACATTCTTCACATCGGTATCAATATCGTATGTTACAATGACCATACACCTTGACATGTGACTAGACCAAATTCGATAAAAATTCCATTTCACGTTAGTCTAACTAAAGTAGATGGATACGTGAATTGAAATGGTGGAGCAGTGGATTAGTAATCAAGGCACTGAACTTACAGCCACTAAGTCCCAGGTCCGAACTCCGATCCACCTACTTCAGTCTGGGCAGGAGGGAAGTATTATTATTCCTCGTACTTCAAGTGAAGCTCACACACAAACACCTGTTGAATGAGTTGATTTAAAATGTCAAAATGATGAGCATAATGAAATATATGACAGTCAATTTGAATTCCAACAAAAAACTTCACAACCACATGTTAACCGAGGTGCAGACGACAAATGTGTTTCCTGTTATCAAACACAGTACTGCGATGTGTATGCAAAACTATAAGAGGTACCTAGAAGGCCCCTGAATGTTTAAAGTGTGTGTTGTTAATTTCCAGTAACGACTTTATGAGATCAGACGATTATTCATAATTCGGCCTTTCAAAATTAAATCGCATTCTAATAACGTGGGTCATAGATGCTGACATCCAACTCCCAAAATGACTGACACAGATATATTATTTATAACACTTAAGAACTAGTGATAGATGTGCATGAATTCAAAAGAATTTTCTCCGTACTAATACTTCAGGAACCTTAAGACAGGTTGTGGTTTATTTAACCTGCTACAACGTAAGTTAGGATGAGCTGTCTAGATAAACAACTAATCAGTAGTACCCACTGCATCTCATAGGCATATGAATAGTTGCTAAGTTTTCTTTAATTGAAAACACGATTGGTGTTTACCAAATTCTTCATTTCTATTCGCTCGACCTAGATAATAACGCAAGGTGGAGCAAACATAATAATCGGAAAACATTTATTATGAAAAGAAAATATATTAAATTGAACGAAGTAGAATGAAAAGTAACTTACTGAATCCGGATACACCCAGTTACTTATGTCTAAAAAGAGAAGGAAGTACTAATCAGGGGCTAATTTGCAATGGAGGTAGAAACAAATATATTCATTTAGACCCGTCACACACATTAAAGTCGATAAAACAGACAATTGTGATAACCAAAGTCAGTCAGTCAGCTACAACGTAGAATCAGACACACACATGCATCGGTTCAAGTTGCCACACCTCATTAGCACAACGAGATGAACACCGAATTCACAGAAGTAGTTAATTCAATGGTGGTGATATATAAAATAAAGATTGCATATAAGGATATAATACATAAAGAAAGAATTAGGTAGTATAAAGGAAGATATAAAGCGATCGTAATCTCATAGTTTAAGGGAAGACAGAGAGTGTACACTTCTACGTCACTGTGATCGATTCTGAGTCATGTCACCCAGAGTCTCCAATCATTCGTTACGATAGTCACACGAACTTCAACCAAGTAGTCTGCATCTACCACTATGGCTAAGACTAGAAGCTAGTAACTTAAAGTACTGATGCCACGTTTTGGTTTGGCCGCCCCTAATTTTCTTAAAACCATCCCCAACACTAGTCAGTATTGCGCGCCGTGATTATCGGTGACCCAACCATCGCAGTTGGTGAAGATTTACCATCATTCCCTAATACCCTGAGTCTAACCTCACTGTTACTTACCCGATGATCCCATAACCGTAAATAGAAAAGCTATAACCAAACTTGAAACAGGCCGCAAACGCTTCTGTACGAAAATAAGTGAAAATATCAATGAAAGCTTTGCTGACATGAAGTTATGGATTATATTAAACTGAAATACAGTAGAAGTGGACATAAAAATTATATGCCGTTCGATAAATAAAGTGATATTTTACTGCAGTATTTGCGATAGCAATAACAAAAAATGTTACATATGGAAGATATGATGAACATTAATCAACATAGGCAAAAACATACTTGAGAAAATAACTGATACAACGTAATAGGTCCCATTGATTTTCGCGAAACATCTGTTCAACAGTAAACAGTTCATAAATTATATTACGGACGGAAATTTAAAGTTAAAAAATTAAAATCCAACACCTGAAACATAAGTTATTACCTTTACGATACATAATAACAAATAATTCATATATCTATTAAGCGACGACTAAAATTTTCATGATTGAAACGGTAAGATATTCACAGAATAGCAGCAGCGTTAACTAAAAACGAACTCATACTTAGAACTTTACATGTATCAGACAAGTAAACCTAAAATAACTGATAGGTTTAATCAGATAAAAAGAACTGATAGGTCTGATTTGTATGAGTAAAGGTACTAAACAGATTGATGGAATAACTAATTAGTGAAAGGGTATTGAATAATGAATAGATCATGTAGAATATAAAACGTTTTTTCTGGTGTCATTCCGAAAATCAACTATTTGTTCCTATGCACAAAGACGCCTAGACAAGGTAGCAATACACTAAAGGCAACTAGCCCCCAAATGCCCTGGTATGACTGAGAGCGGGGTGGGCCCGCCCTCCCTCTCTAAATACTATCACACAGCCACGCATATACAGCCTCTGCCAGGGAAGTTCTACTCACTGCCATCTCGTGACAGGGGTGTTGTTTACGAAAATGAGAGGACGAAAAGCGAATATCCGGCGCTTTAACCGGATCCCAAACCAATGGTGCACATGAACTCCAGTATCCTGAGGGAACAAATGGCGTATGAATCAATCGTTGGTCGCCGGCTACCATGGGACTGCATCTCCTCACGATGCTCCACTGCCTTGAGGGTCAGATCTTAAGGTAAAAGGCCCGGGGTATGGCCCCCTAAGAAAACCACTTGCTTCAGTCTGGGCACCCGGGCAGTATCGCAGCCCGCACACAAAAACAGGATAAACTATCTACTTATGAAAAATATACCTCTCGCTTCAAATAACAATCAAGTGACCCTCAATGATATTACTATGATTATTATTTTCATTACTATTATTATTATTATTATTTACTACGTCATTATTCACCCTCTTTTATTCCTACTCTGTCTATACTTATTTTTTTCGACTTATACAGCAGCTCACCCATGGTGGAAATTCGACTGAATCTAAACGTTCTCGAGTCACTGACGGGCTGAAAATTGTATGTTACCACCGAATATGAGTACTGAAGCAGTTTTTATGAAACCACGTGCACCATTCAAACTGGCTGCCTTCAACGTTCGCACACTTATGCAGGTTGGACAATAGATAGAGCTGGCTATGTCTTTGGAAAGTCTTAATATCGATGTTTGCTGTCTATCCGAGACCCGTATTCAAGACTATGGCGAAGTCACTTCAAACAGCTTGTTTTAGGTGCGTTTATCCGGGGACCCTCTGGTATCCACGTCTGGTCTCGCTGGCGTTGGTGTCGCACTAAGCGCTAGAGCTGAGGCAGCACTAGTCGATTGGATCCCCATTAACAGTCGGTTATTTGCTGTTAGATTAGAAAGTTCCATCAAAGTGAGAAGAAATCGGCGTGAGAAACGACGTCTTTTCGTTATCTCTGCCTGTGCTCCGACAGATCGCAGCCCGGATGCAATCAAGGATGAGATTTACCACCAGTTATCTATTCTTCCCCAGAAAGTGCGTTCGACAGATATTGTAGTACTAGCCGGAGACTTGAATGTTCAGGTCGGGCATCTGTTTCTGGCTAGCACTAACTTTCGGCACAGTCAGCGTCAACGTGCCACCTGGCGTCCTCCCTCTGCATCTCAAGCATGGACTCAGATTGATCACATCGCGATCAGCTACCGCTGGCGTGGTTGTGTACAAGACTGCCGCTCGTTTTGGAGTACATATCCGGACTCTGACCATGCCTTGGTCTGCGCCAATCTTACCTTACTTTTCAGTGGACAACGAAGTGACCGCCACCAACGGATTGATGTTAGCAAGCTGGTTGCAACTTCTGTTGCTAGTAAGTATCGAACCGAGCTAGCTGCTAGGCTAGCTACCATTCCACCGGAAAGTATAGGTGAGCATTGGATGCAATTGCATGACGCCATGAAAATGGCCAGTAAAGCCCCTTGCGGTTTCGCGAAACGTCCCCCTTGTAAGCACTAGGTTTCTTCAGGCTTCTTATAGCTCATCGAAGCCCATCGGTACACTCCGGGTGACCGTGAGTTTGACCACAAATGAAGGATGTTACGTAAGGAAATCGGCCGAAGCTTGCGTAAGAACCGAAAAGCCTGGTGGTCGAAGCGTGCTAATGAGCTGGAAGATGCAGCTGCATCTGGTAATTACCGGAAGCTCTTTTAACTCATCCGAGCCCCTGGCAGCAAGGAACCTAGTGTGAGCGAAACAATCTGCGAGGATGACGGAACGAAGCGCAGTTCAAGTAGTCTGCTGCTCCGGCAACATCGGTCGGACTGTCCTGCCCTCCATGGCCGGTGACGACTGATCCACCAAATGAGGCGGAAGTTCTCAAGGAACTCTTGAAGCGCTACAAATCACCGGGCCCAGATGACTTACCTCCGGTCCTTTTTAAAGATGGTAGTGACTTTCTGGCTAGGGAACTGACGACGTTGTTTACAAAGGTCTTGGAGCTAGAGAGTGTACCAACGTTATGGAATGAGTCGATAGTTGTCCCTATCTTTAGGAAGGGTTCACGTCGTTCCTGTAACAACAATCGGGGGATAAGTCTACTTCCGATTGCATCCAAGCTATTGGCTTCCTTCATACTTCGTAGGTTGGTCAAAACCCGAGAAAGATTGGCTCGCGAGGAGCAGGCTGATTTCCGTTCCGGTCGAGGATGTATTGATCACATCTTCACCCTCCACCAAATGTTAGAACACCTTCATACTTATCAAAGGCCAATAATCGTAGTGTTTCTTGACATTAGGGCTGCCTTCGATTCGTTGGACAGGACTGTTCTCTGGGATTGTCTATTGAAGAAGGGTGTGCCTGAGAAGTTTGTTAACATCCTAAAGGCCCCATATACAAACACCTCAGGCAGAGTGAGGGCATACAATCACCTCTCTCCGTTGTTCCATTCGAGCAGTGGGGTTAGACAGGGTTGCCCAGTCTCACCATTCCTCCTCAACTTTGCCATCGATGACATTCTGGAAACAGCTCTGACGGATGTAAGTAATGGCGGTGTGGATCTGTTGCCTGTAGAAAGACTTCTCGACCTTGAGTATGCGGATGATATTGTCTTACTGTGCGATAATGCCCAAGTCATGCAATCCGCAATTAATCAGTTGGCAACCAGTGTCCGTAAGTACGGTATGTGCTTTGCACCTTCCAAGTGCAAAGTACTTCTACAAGACTGACAGGATTCTAATCCTGTACTCACCCTGGATGGTGAGCAGATAGAAGTAGTTGAGAAGTTCGTGTATCTAGGTAGCTGCATAAGTGCTGGTGGTGGCCTGACTGATGAGATCAATGCACGTATAGTGAAAGCCAGAGCGGCTTATGTCAATCTGGGCCATCTTTGGCGTCTTCGTGATGTCAGTCTAGCTGTAAAAGGTCGGATCCACAACGCGTCGGTGAGAGCAGTTTTGCTCTATGCTTGTGAAACCTGGCCTCTCCAAGTTGAGGATGTTAGACGACTCTCTGTGTTCGATCATCGCTGTCTCCGAAGGATTGCTGACATCCAGTGTCAACACTATGTCAGTGATGCAGAGCTTCGGCATCGTGTGTTCGAGCGCAAAGACGATAACTCGATTGATGTCACTATCTTGAAACACCGACTTTGGTGGCTTGGACATGTTCTACGAATGTCGTCCCAGAGAATTCCACGTCGTGCATTATTTGCCGACTCTGGGACTGGTTGGAAAAAGTGGAGAGGTGGTCAGTGTATGACATGGTGTCGTGGTATGAAAGAAAGATGTACAAGACTGGCTACTGTTAGTCCTTCACGACTCCCTGGTTGGGGTCCTAGAGATGGTGCTACACAGTGGCTAGAGACGTTATCAGATATGGCTCAGAATAGAAGTCAGTGGCGATCCTGTTGGAACCTTCTTTAACTTTCTTTATAAAAAAGTGGTTGTTTCTTCCTTAACTGAATGACTTCTTCTGAAATTACCCTTCCGTTCCCCTACTAATACTAGTATTATTACACCAATATCTTCGTTATTGTTTTTTTATATCTTTTCTTACGTTCCCCACTTTTTTTCTGTTTCTTCTTCTTAAATTCTTATTGTTTTGTGTGACGCTCCTTACCTCCCTTTTTTCTCTTCCCATTCTCATTGTTTTTTGTGGCGCATATATATTTGGCGCACTCCTATACCAATATATATGTGTCCAAATAAATAAATAAATAGAACAATCTGTAACATCAGTACATAAAGCCACTACTATTGATAGACTTAATTAGATCACATTGCCATTATTCATCATTGGAGAAGCTCGTTTAAAGAATAACGCTTATTCTGGAGCACATATTTAGACTCAGATAACACACTAGTTCAAACATGTATTTGTCTGCGTCTTACTAAATGAAGAAAACCACAGCAAGAAAACAAATTATAGTACAATTTAGAATAAAAATTAAGAATATATCACATGAACTATAGAACGAGTTATCAACCATGAAAGTGATACCCGAAGTAGTTTGGCATGATATTCAAACAGTAGAAACAGTAGCGGTATTACTTGTAACCTAATCGAAAAGGTTGGGAAAAATTAATGGATTTTCGTTTCTTCTACAGAACTCAACCCGTTTAGCATCGAAACAGACAAAGAGAGAAGCAGCTTAAACGTAGAAGGATAGAAATTAATTATAATACACGTGAGCAGAAGTGGGTGGCAATAACAGAAAAGAAGGACATGGCAGCAGCGAAAGGTAACAGCAGACAACAACTCAAGCTTATTAAGTAAACAGGTATAAAACTCCGCCAGCAAGACAGCCAGTCACAATGTAAAACTTGTACTTATGTACATCAGTTCAAGTTGCCATACCCCATCGGCACAGAGAGATGAAGTTGTCAGGCCAAATCTCAGAGTTGTAGAGGTAGTAACAGTGTGAATGGTGACTGCAAAG